GGTTCTCTGAGTAACATGAGTGAGATGCCTCACTATTGGATACGTCCCTCCGCGGACTCCTCAGAAGCACTTATCTCAATACGCCAATCCTGATTGGCCAGTGACCGTGACGTACGCGTCACCTGCTACTATAAGTAGCAGGCATCCCAACGCACGCACCATTCAAGATAAACACCTCTTCTCGCTTCACCCAGCAAGAAGGGTTGTCTGGTGAGACATCTCACTCATGTTACTCAGAGAACCGGGGTTACGACAGTAACCTAAAGTTCTCTTTCTTAACATTTGTTTCAATGTCTCACTATGGGATATGGAGACTCCCGTATTGCCAGACAGCTTATCCAGCGATCACCAACCTACAGGGGTACGTCTTGGCCCGCTGAGGACCCCACACCCCGAATTGTTTGGGTCATTGCAGGGACCGAAATGTCAAGCTTATAGAAGCATGTAAATGAAAGTGGAGAAGCCCAACTTGCTGCAGCACAAATCTCCTGGACGGACAGCCCCCGAAAAAAGGCCCAAGAAGCAGACAGGCCCCTAGTAGAATGGGCCCTGAGCCCTACAGGTGCCTGAATGCCCTGACAGGAGTAAGCCAGAGAAATAGCCTCCACAATCCAGTGGGAAAGCTGCTGCTTTGTGATGGGTTTCCCCTTACAAGGCCCACCCCATGACACAAAAAGCTGGTCCCCCCGCGAAGGTTCCCTGTCCGATTAACATACTCCTTGAGCGAGCGAATCGGACACAGCTTGTGCAACCGCTCCTCAGGAGAGGAGAAGGGTGGTGGGTAGAAAGCTGTGAGGAGAATAGGAGAAAAGGAGCCCACTACCTTAGGCACAAAGGCAGGGTTGGGCTTCAGGGACACCTTCATGTCACCTGGTGCGAACTGGGTGCAGGATGGGTGCACAGAAAGAGCATGTAAGTCACTAACTCGCTTTGCAGATACCAAAGCCAGGAGTAGCACCACTTTAAGAGACAGGATCTTAAGGTCCAGGCCGTCCATAGGCTCAAATGGAGGCCCGAAGAGGGCTGACAGCACCAAGGACAGATCCCATGAGGGCACCAGGGGTCAAGACACAGGGAGAAGCCTGTGCGCACCCCTCATGAAGCTACACACCAGGGGGTGTTGACCTGCCAATTTCTTCCCAAAACCCAAGTGTCGGGCAGAAATGGCTGCTAGGTACATTTTAATGGTGGAGAAAGCCTTCTTCCCATCCAGCAAGTCTTGCAGGAAAGACAGAATGACATTCACAGGACACTGGGAGGGTGAGACATCCCTGCCCTGACACCAGGCTTCAAACACCCTCCATTTACAGTCATATAGGGACCTATTGGAGGGGGCCCTGGCTTTCTGAATGTTTCGAATGACCACCTGGGGCAGCTCTGCTGACCCTAACCCGCACCCCTCAGGGGCCAGGCCCACAGGGCCAGTCATTCTGGATTAGGATGGAAGATTGAGCCTCCATCTTGGGGCACTAGGTCCCTGCGAAGCGGCAATTTCCAAGGTTGGCCCTCCAGGAGCTGGAAAATGTCCGCCACCCAATGCATGGCTTGCTAGTATGGGGCCACCAGAATGAGAGTGTGGCGTCAAGTCCGTACCCTCAGCAAGGTGGGTGGTATCAGGGCCACTGGGGGAAAAGCGTAAAGCAGTCCCCATGGCCAGTCGTTCGCCAGCGCGTCCATGCCGAGTGGAGCTTCTCGGTCGCGCAGGGAGAAAAACAGTGGACACTGAGCATTCTCCTTGGAGGCAAAAAGATCCACTACGGCTGTGCCGAACCGGATCCAAATCTGTTCCATCACTGCTGGATGCAGGCTCCAATCCCCGTACAGGGAGTCCCTCTGGTCAACAGATATGCCCCCGATTCAGAACACCCGGGACGTGGGTGGCTCAGATTGAGAGGAGATGTCTGCTGCACCATAGGATCAGTCTGCGTGCCAGCATGTGTAACCGCATGGAGCGCAGCCCCCCTGGTGGTTTATATAAGCCACAGTCGTGGTGTTGTCTGTTCTCACTAGGACATGATGGCCAGAGAGAAAAGGCAGGAAGTGCCTCAGGGCTAGGAAGACCGCGAGGAGTTCCAGATAATTTATGTGTCCCCCAGAGCTCTCTGCTCCACACACCCCTGACAGAGCAGCCCTCCAGGAGCCCCCCCCCCCCCCCCCCCCAACCTGACAGGCCCGCATCTGTTGTGACCACTTTCCTCACGAGAACCAACCCCAAAGGCATCCCCTGTGCCAAGAAGGGGGGGTGACGCCAACAGCGGAGCGTTGCGAGGCACGCTGCAGAGACCGTCACCCTGGGCACTCTGTGGCGCACTGGAGAGAGTGTCAGAGAAGCCACCCAGCATTGAAAATCTCTCATGTGTAGACGGCCGAGTGTTACCACTGAAATAGCCGACGCCATGAGACCCAAAAGCCTGAGGCACAACGCAAACCGCACCGAACTGTGTAGGTGGAAGCGCGCCAGGCAGAACGAGAGTGTGTTCACGCGTGGTGCCAAGAGACGGGCCATGAACGCCCCTGAGTCCAGATTCAGACCTAGAAAGGTTATTTTCTGGGAGGGTAGTAAAATGCTTTTCTGCCAGTTTATTCAGAAACCCAGACCACACAAGTAATGGATCACAACCAGCGTGTTTGACGTTGCCTCCTCTCTGGACCGTGCCAGCAGGAGCCAGTCGTCTAAGTACGTGGCCAGCCGAATGCACCTCTCTCTCAGAGGGGCCATCGCTGCCTCCGTACACCTGACAAACACCCTCGGGCTCAGCGACAGGCTGAAGGGAGCACGGTGTATTTGTAACACACTCCCTGAAAGGAAAACCTCAGAAATTTCCTGTGTGGAGAGTACACGGTCGATTGAGGTGAACCAGTCATTCTGGTGAAGCAGACGCAAAAGGGATGAGAGCGTGAGCATTTTGCATTTGTACTTTCTGAGGCATTGGTTCAGGGCCCTCAGATCCAGGATCGGGCGAATACCGGTCCCTCCCCGTTTCGGGACCAGGAAGTACCTGGAGTAGAAACCGCTCTGAGACAGATCGGGAGGCACAATGCATATCGCTCCTTTTTCTAGCAGGGAGGAGATTTCTCCCTGAAGGATGTGAGCTGATGTCCCCTGGGCGTGGGAGAACACTACGCCAGAGAATCGAGGAACAACTGAAACAGGAGCTGAAGCGAATTGGAGCCTGTAACCTCTCAAAATAGTTCTTAGCGCCCAATGTGAAGCGGAAACCACTGTCGATTCCTCTATGTGAGTGGAGAGAGGTTACACAGCCGTGACACACGGAGCAGCAGCTCCCTCCAGAGGCTGTGGGGCAGCAGTGCTTGTGGCAACTACTGCGCATGCGCGATGGCTTTGTGCTTTGGCGGCCCTGGCATACTGGGACGACCCGTGGCTGGCGGGAAAGTCCGCCAGGGGCCGCCCCAGCCTGGTTTCTCTCATCTGCATCATTTTTATTGATTTTTGCTGCGCCCTTGACATTCTGTCTGGATGCAGCAGCAAACTTTTTAATTCTTCTTGTGTGTGACATGTTTGTGAAAAAAAATGTGAGTGCTTGTGACCTGTGTTTTGAGCCGGCACGGCCGGTTGCACGTCCTGGCGGCACCCTGAACCGATCAGGGACTCTGCCGGGTGGGTCCCGTGAGGGGATGAGAAAGCACCATGGTAACACCGAACAGGTGGAGCCGGCGAACGGGGAACTGCCAGCTGCAGCGTCGGGAGGGAAAGAACTCCGTCAGGATGCTCTTTTCTTCTTTCTCACCTGCTTACCGCCGGGCCGGGTGGGTTGTTCCGGTGGCGGAGCGGCTTGGTTGCTGGACCTCTGAGGCCAAACTGGTCGAGGCGCTGAGCCCGAAGGAGCTGGTTGGGCTGCTTGAGGCTTTGGGCGCTTTGGGATCCGGAACTGAGGCTGGGCTCGGGCAGCTGCCTGAGGAAAATCCGGCCGAGCTGGCAGAGCAGGTGAAGGCTTACGGGGAAGGCAGAGTTGAAGGGCTTCATCCTCTTTCTTCTGTGCCTCGCACCGTTGTTGCATTGATGCCAATGCAGAGCCAAAAATGCCTTCAGGCACAATTGGCATGTCCAAAATGTCTTCCTTTTCTCTATCAGAGAGGTTGGTGAGGTTCAGCCATCGTACACGTTCCTGAAGCACCATCATGCCCATAGCCTGGGCATGCCCATAGCCTGTGGCCTGGACGGTGCAGCTCTGCACCCGCAGGCAGATGTCGGTCAGTACTATGATTTCCAGTACGGTGATTTCCTCCCACACCTCCACTTGAGGTAGGACCTCTCTCCCGACCCGGAGTTGGCAAGCCACCCTTTTCCGGTCGAGAACCATGGTCTCATCGGAGCATCCCTAATAAAATTCTTACAAGTATGTTTCAATTTTTTATAACAATAAAGCAATAACAGACAGAAATGAAGTGGATGAAAGCGATTGAAGATTCACTGATGCTGGTGGGTAGTTGCACCGACTTTGGGCAGCTGAGTAACTGCTGATGATTTAAGTGAACTAAGCGAACTTAAATCATCAGGTAACATATGTACATTAATAAATATAGTAATTAGCACTTCAGGCAACAGAAACGCCAACTTGCTGTTTAAATAATAAGGGATTTGTTAGAATGGCAGCTGTCCTCAAAACGGGCAATTTAGCAGCAAATTTAATCTCAAATCGGTGGTGTGGTCATGGTGAAAAGTCTTTAAGTATCGTGTTAAATTATTTTAACTGATGCTTTTCTTGATGCACTTAGTTTTTATTAGAAGCATCAGAGCTTTTAGTGGAACAAACATAGTCATAATCTGTTTATTACACTTTTATAAAAAAAAATATTTGGGTATCAAAAGTGGTCTCAGCCTAAATTGACCTGCTGTCTCATAAAGCTTTATCTGATGTGAAGGAGGATATAGAATGTATGAGGTGAGATCTTAGTGGTGGAACAACAGCTGTGATTGTGATTTCTCTGTTAGATTTATATTTCTCCATCATTTGTTACTTTTTCTGTCTGTTTTTCAGGCAGGAAATTGTTGCGGGCCTTCTCAAAAATATGTTTGAGGGAGAGAGGAGCGAGGCCTCCATTGTTAATGGAACTCAAGTGCTACTTACCTTATTGGAGACCAGAAGATCTGGGTGGGTATCAGCATTCTTTTTAAATGCTTCTGATTCTCGATCCAATCCTCCTACACCAGTCAGCTATACATTTATGACAGCTTGTCTAGTATTTCGTAAATTGTCCCTCATTCTCTCAGAACAGTGCTGTTGCTGCTCTAAAACTTTGAAGACATTGCATCACCAAGAGCAGATCCTCTAAAGCCTGGACATTCCCATTTGGGACGTTTTCATCCATTCTGGTGACACTTCAAATGAGACACAGATTTATGAACCACAAACTATGAATTAAGCCCCCCCCCCCCCCCCCCCCCCCCCCACCACCACCACACACACACACACACACACAAGATTTTTAAATTTCGAGTCAGACTTTATCACACATGTGGAATTAAGCCATTTTCAAGTCATCACACTCGTCTGTTTTTTCTAGCTTTGTGGAAACACTATTGTTTTTCCAGTATATCCTGTCTGCCAAGTTCAGCTGAAATGAGATGATGTCAGCTGACTGTGGTCATAATGTTAGAAGTGATTGGTGAATCCTAGTTGGGCAGCTGCATCATATTGGTGTGTTCTGTCAGCTTTTATTTCCAGTGATTAGTTAAACAGTAACTCGAGTTTTTCTGTGTTTGTGTTTTTGTCTACCAGGTTGGAAGGGTTAATGGATCTGTATTCTCAGGGTTACGAAAGGTCTTACACTGTCAACAGCAGTATTTTAAATGCCATTGAGCCCCATTTAAAAGACTTCCAGCAGCTACTTCTGGACCCCCCTAAGGTAATGGCCACCAGCTGGTATATTTGGGCAGGGTTAGGGATGTGCCAAGGTGATGGATTATTTCCAGTTAAACGCAGCTTCTTGTTGTAATTGTTGTATTGGCGTTTCCTAATTAGGACTTCAGTTGTTAACTTTCTTTTCCCACTTAACAGAAAAGTGCAATATTGACAACCGTTGGCGTTCTAGAGCAGCCACTGGGGAACGCTCGCCTTCACGTGGCCCGGTTGGTGGCTGCCCTGTTGCAGACCAGTGTGTCCAGTATCTGCCAGGAGCTCTGTAACCTTGCTATCATGGACCTACTACTGGTAGGTGTGACTTGGCACAAACCTGTAGCATCATTTATTCACTCAGGTGTAGGTTTTGTTCCTGCTTGTTGTGCATGAGTGACATATTTTCAAAGTTGCATCAGATTTGCACAAGATTGGTCACGAGTCAGAGAAGCACAAATAACCTCATCACTCCGTTCGGCCAAAGGCCAGTAGGTGGGGTTTCAATGAAGGAAAGGGCTGTAAAATCACAAAGCTTTGTCTTATTTTAATACTTATTGCACCTTTATTGTTTTCCACATAAAGTCACATTTTTCATATAAACAAAGTCATAGTGATTTATGTTAAGCTGTTTCCAAACTTTTACTCACCATGACTCCCTTTTTGTGTAGGATCTGTTCTTCAAATACTCCTGGAATAACTTTTTGCACTTCCAAGTGGAGTTGTGTGTGGCAGCTATCCTGAACCACCCTTCTTCAGAGGAGCAGCCGGGCACAGGCCTGCAGAACCACGACGAGCCGCCTGCAGCCTCTGACTCTGAGGTGCAGCAGGAGGGAGAAGAGAAGACAGCAACGAGCAGCAACCCACTAACATCTATTCATACTGCCCTGGTGGCGCATGTAAGTTTCTGACTCGGCAAACCTACGCAAAGATATTTGTATGAGGTCTGTTCTTATGTGTGTGTGTGTGTGTGTGTGTGTGTGTGTGTGCGTGCGTGCGTGCGCGTGTGTGTGTGTGTGTGTGTTTACCCCGTAGCTCTTCCAAAAGTGTCAGCTAGTCCAAAGGATCCTCAGTGCTTGGGAAGAGAATGATAAGATACAGTAGGGATCTTTGAACGTGCATCACTTATGAATTTTGGTGCAGCTAAACTCTTTTGGAGGTTTTCTGACTGTGTACTCCTAAATATCAGGGCTGAGGGGGGCACTAGGAGAGGGAACATGGGCCATCTTACTAGAATTGCCAACATGGTGGTCCAGAACCTGGAAAAAGGACCAGTACAGGCTCAAATCGCAGACCTCATCAAAGGTAGTAATGCTGAGCAAAACTTTTAACAGCAGATTGCTTTTTATTCCAGAAGAAAGTTAGAATATACGTGTGTCTGTGTTTCTGCTGTAGAACTGCCTGAAGACTGCCGAGGTCGCTGGGAGAGCTTTGTGGACGAGACCCTGAGAGAAACCAACAGGAGAAACACAGTAGAGCTGGTGAGACGCCTTTTTGCAGAACGTTTTTGTTCATCTGCATCAGTCTGTTCCTTACCGTGTCCTCATTTGGTCCTTTTCCTTCTCTTTAAGCCTGCAGCTCAGCAGTAGTTGCTGGAGCTGCAGTGATAATTAAGGATATGACCTTGCAGACAGGAGTCAGGGCAGCAGTAACCTCTACTCACAAGAAATAAAAACAGTCTTTAATGAAAACAAGAGTTTAGCAGCATTCTATCATGACAGGCATGCAGTACTTTGCAGGAAGGAGCTGAGTTGCTTGTGTTTATGAGAGCACAACATGTAAGTGGGTTTTTTCAGTTCTCAGTGCTCCCATTTCCCCATTCAGAGGTTTTTATGTTTTACTCACTCAGCTTCCTCTTTACTGAGTCTTTTTATTTTAAACAGAATATTATGGGATGCATAAACCCCTCTGCCGTGTGTTTACAGGTAAGCACCCACAATATGCACTCATCCAGCGAGGATGATGACTTGGACCCCCCCTTCCCCAACGATTTGTCTCTTCAGCAGGTGAATTGATCTCAGAGAACAATTTAATTCCAGTTAGCCTCAAAATCTATAAAATAATCCATGGCTGTGTCTTTGCAGGCCTTTTCAGATTATCAGATCCAACAGATGACTGCCAACTTTGTGGAACAGTTTGGATTCCATGACGAGGAGTTCAGCGAACACGATGAAAACATCAAGTGAGTTGTAGTTAAAGATGTAGCTAATCGCCCCTTTTTATTTCCTGTGTTTTCTGTCCACAAGGCTGCAGTGTTTTTGTTTTAACTGTGTTTGAACATTTTGTCTTTCCACAGCGCCACATTTGACAGGATTGCAGACATAGAATTCATCCTAGATGCTGATGATAATAGTGTAAGTGTTGAGCTCTTTTGCTGGTTGCTGTTGTATTTTAATTTATAGTTTTGTTGTTTTGCACAACTTTCCTTTAACCCTGGTAAATAAATCTCACGCTCAGTGTCTGAAGCTGAGAAACAACTGCCTCCATTGTTGTTTTGTTTTTTCCGCTGGTCCGCCCCCTAAAGTGTCCAGGCAGCATGCGTAACTTTTATGTTCCTGCCACACTTTGCAGTTGTTTTTTGGCATTTTTTATTATCATTTATAAATATTTAGAAATCGATTTTGAATCGGCACATGTCACATTCCAATGTATCGATTCAATGGTGAATCTGTATTTACAACTGAGTCAGCATCATTCAGAATGAGCCAATCACACATTAGCAAATGCAAAAATGGCTGCTACATGGTTACTTTTACAAATAATGAGCTAAAATGTTTTGTTTGTAGCTGAAATTAACTTGACATCCTCTAATGAGTTGGATAATATCTTTGTGATTCTGGGTGAGATCACATTTTCTTTTCAGTAAATTAGCTCCAGCTCATCTTTCACAAGGTCTGATTTAAGTGTAGCATGGAATGCAGGGGGTACAATGCACTCCTTTAAAGAATGCTAAACCTTCAAAAACGGTTTTTAATCAATCACTAGACATGATGTGTTATGCATGAAAAAACCTTGACCTCAGTCTCATGGTATTCTTGGTGTTTATTTGCTGGTTGACATCTGATGGTAGTTGTCGGGTAGTGAGGCTGTTTTCCTGGACTTACGAATTCTAAAAAAAATTCAAGTAAAACATCAGAGATTTGTTCCACTTGCAAACATTTCTGTAATGAAAGAATGCATCAAGTTAATTCCACGACTGATGGTAGTTTGTTGAAGATGGACTCTTCTTAGTTTCAGCTGTTTGTCCACAGGCCAATGCAGCTGCTTTTGAAGCCTGCTGTAAAGAGAGGATACATCAGTTTGATGATGTAGATGAGGACGAGGACATTTGGGAGGACAGAGACATCGACTATGCAACACAAGCTAAATGCAGGACAAGGTGAACTTGATTATGCGTTTGTCTCAGGTGTTTCATTGCCATGGATGGTCGCCTTTAACCCTCTTTGTCTTTAATGTTTTCATCACCCCCCTTTTACAGATTTGGGGTCTCGCAAACCTCAGAGGGAAACTCTAGAAACAGCATGGAAAATGGCCGCCAGGAGCAGGATCACGGGTCTGAATCTGATGAGGATGAAGATTCTGAACAGAACACATCAGATGGAGGTCAGCTGCAGGATTACAGATGAAAATGCCAAGCAATCAGCCTTCATCTCAGTAAACTGTCTGCTTGTTTGTGGGGGGGTGTTAATCCCAGGTCCAGGCTGGACGGCAAGTTTCAGGGAATCTGAAAAGACTGTTGCATCCCAGATGCCGGTGGGGTGGGAAAACTCAGGTGGGAGTGGAGCAGAAACTCAAGAAATGGGCTGGGCCAACTTCTCAGAGCTCCAGCCTTCCACAGGGTAAGTCTCATTCTGCCTCATAGTACAACCTCACTTTATTTATTTACCGTATTTCAGATTTTAGAGATTGTGCTGGAACATTTCTATTGTTTTTATCTGGTAAAAATCACACTTGCAACAGTGGCTAAATAAACATCGGCTATTTACCCAATGTTAAGTATTAACTGGATTATTTTTCCAGTACTGAAACTGCTCCCAGCTGCAGCTCTCCTGGAGGTAGCACTGATGCAGATAAACAAGCCAAACAGAACCAAGAGAAGAGTGAGGGTGAGCACCTGCTTCTAATCTACCTTCCATTTATACAAACGTCAACCTTCTGCTGGTGAAGGTTCTTAGTCATTCTGTCTGTTTCTCTGTTTGCAGATGCTGACGCCTCCTCTGAAACCTCCTCTGATGCTTTGCCAGTTGGAGAGGAGAAGAAGGCTCCACTTGTGGCCTCAGACAGCAGCTCCTCTGGGGAATCTGACAGCAAAGAGGAGAAAGCTGGCGCTCCTCCAGCAGCAACGATTACCACAGAAACAGCCCCTGTTAACCAAACGGTTGATGTAAAAAGGTCTGCATCTCTCACTTCAAATTTAGACTAAACTTGTCTTTATAGGGGCTTTAACAGCAGGTTTCCATAGCAGCAGCAGCTCAGAGATCTGTGTTCAACTACAAAATCTTCTTTGTTTCACATCTGAAAAGCCCGCCATACACATGTGTTCATGTTGTCATACAGAGTGGTTTTACCTTTGGGTGACCAGTTGTGCGTGCGTGCGTGCGTACGTCCTTCCTTCCTTCTTTCTTTCTTTCTTTCTTTCTTTCTTTCTTTCTTTCTTTCTTTCTTACTTTCTTTCGTTCTTTCTTTCTTTCTTTCTTTCTTTCTTTCTTTCTGACATAATTGGGACCTGGATGTAATTATAGTCTGGAGCGGGACTTGAAATGACTGGATACATTCAGTTTCTCCTTTTCGAAAGAAAGCACATCCTCACTTATGCTAAATAAACTTCTGCCTGGTTCATACTTCTCTGTTAGTGCAGCAACATCGAGACACAATGCCATGTTGGTTGACATGAGGGCTCTGTCCGCCACGAGTATATGGAGACATCCCCAGTTTGTTATCTGTTCGTCGAAACAGACCGCATGCTTCAGATTTGCCAGTTCCACTAAAATTGTCAACAGCACTGCAATTGGCCCTCCAAAAATAGAGTGCCAAAGATATCTGTTGGCAGACATGGAGCAGATCTGAGAACGTCTCCTACGAAGTTTGATGATACAAACATTTACTGAAGGACAGCAAAGATACGCTGCAGATGCTTCAGTCTTTAAAGGGAATTACAGGAGAGGTGTGTTTGGAGGTGGCGACTGCATGAAAAGGAGTTAAGAGAATGAGGGACAAATTATCCATCCATCCATCCATTTTCATCCGCTTATCCGGAGTCGGTTCGTGGGGGCAGCAGCCTAAGGCGAGAGGCCCAGACTTCCCTCTCCCCAGCCACTTGGGCCAGCTCCTCCGGGGGAATCTCAAGGTGTTCCCTGGCCAGGTGAGAGACGTAGTCCCTCCACCGTGTCCTGGTTCTACCTTTAGGTCTCCTCCTGGTTGGGCGTGCCCGGAAAACCTCACCAGGGAGGCGTCCAGGATGCATCCTGACCAGGTGCCCGAGCCTCCAACTGGCTCCTCTCGATGTGGAGGAGCAGCGGGTCTACTCCGAGCCCCTCCCGAATGACCAAGCTTCTCACCCTATCTCTAAGGGAGAGCCCAGCCACTCTTCGGAGAAAACTCATTTCAGCCGCTTGTATCTTCGATCTCGTTCTTTCGGTCACTACCCAAAGCTCATGACCACAGGTGAGGGTAGGAACGTTGATCGGCCGGTAAATCGAGAGCTTCGCCTTCTGACTCAGCTCTCTCTTCACCATGACAGACCGGTACAACGCCCGCATCACTGCAGATGCAGCACCAATCCGCCTATTGATCTCACGCTCCAGTTTTCCCTCACTCGTGAACAAGACCCCGAGATACTTAAACTCCTCCACTTGGGGCAGGACCTCATCCCGGACCCGGAGAAGGCATTCTACCCTTTTCCGAATCAAGACCATGGTCTCAGATTTAGAGGAGCTGATTCTCATCCCAGCTGCTTCACACTCGGCTGCGAACCGCTCCAGCGAAAGCTGAAGATCACATTCTGATGAAGCCAGCAGGACCACATCATCTGCAAAAAGCAGAGACCTGATCCTCAGGCCACCAAAACAGATGCCCTTCACACCTTGACTGCGCCTAGAAATCCTGTCCATAAAGGTTATGAACAGAAACAGTGACAAAGGGCAGCCTTGGCGAAGTCCAACTCTCACTGGGAACGAGCCCGACTTACTGCCGGCAATGCGGACCAAGCTCTGACACCGGTTAAACAGGGACCTAACGGCCTGTGTCAGAGGGCCTGGTACCCCATACTCCCAGAGTACCCCCACAGGGCCCCCCAAGGGACACGGTCAAACGCCTTCTCCAAATCCACAAAACACATGTAGACTGGTTGGGCAAATTCTCACGCACCCTCCAGGATCCCCCTAAGGGTATAGAGCTGGTCCAATGTTCCACAGCCAGGACAAAAACCACATTGCTCCTCCTGAATCTGAGGTTCAACAATCCGACGGACCCTCCTCTCCAGAACCCCTGAATAGACCTTATCAGGAAGGCTCAGAAGTGTGATCCCCCTGTAGTTGGAACACACCCTGCGGTCCTCATTTTTAAATAAGGGGACCACCACCCTGGTCTGCCAGTCCAGTGGGACTGCCCCCAATGTCCACGCCATATTGCAGAGCCGCGTCAGCCAACACAGCCCGACAATATCCAGAGCCTTTACCCCCAAATTCCACTACCTCCGCTCCGGTCCGCCCCCGCCTTCCGCAGCCGCTCACTTCCGAACTCAATTTTTTACTGGTACCCGCTCTACAACGGCTCCGCTCCGGTGCGGAGACCTGAGGTGGGCAAACAAGCATGCGCGGGATTTTCGAGATCTTGCGATACAGTCCGAGCAATAAACGCGGAAGTTAGATCCAAACACCCGTTGTGTGGGAGAAGCATCGAAACGAACTGTTTAATCTGCCCATCATTTGTGTTGAGAGATAAGCAGTGTTTGGATCAACAAAGTGTGACTACTTTGATAGTGGAAACTGTATTTATGGCTTACTTTTCTGCATTTAAAGTTCAACCGCCATTGATAGTTGTTAAAAGTTGTTAAACCTGTGCATATGAAACAAAAAACGCCTTTTGTTTATCGATTTATTGTGAAAAATGGAAGATGTGCTTGCTCCTTTTCCTGTTATCCGGTTGTGATTTCTGTCCATTTACTGCGGAGGTGCTCCGGCGTCCGGCAAAAATAGAATCAATCCTATTTTTGCCGGACGCCGGAACAGAGGGCGGCGCACGGCGCCGCACTGCCGGAGCACGGCCGCAGTAGTGGAATAGCTCTGATTGACTACAACGGGACCGATTTTGCTCCGGCGTTCGTGTCGGAGCGGAGTGGAGGTAGTGGAATTTGGGGGTAAGGAACTCCGGGCGGATCTCATCCACCCCTGGAGCCTTGACACAGAGTTGCTTTTTAACCACCTCAGTGACCTCAGCACCAGAGATTTGAGAAGCCAACCCAAAGTCCCCAGACTCTGCTTCCTCACTGGAAGACGTGTTGGTGGGATTAAGGAGGTCTTCGAAGTATTCTGCCCACCGATCCACAACGTCCTGAGTAGAGGTCAGCAGCACACCGTCCCCACTGTAGATAGTGTTGGTAGCGCACTGCTTTTCCCCCCTGAGGCGCCGGATGGTGGACCAGAATCTCCTCGAAGCCATACGGAAGTCTTGTACCATGGTCTCACCGAACTCCTCCCATGCCCGGGTTTTTGTCTTGGCGACCACCTGAGCCGCGTTCCGCTTGGACTGCTGGTACCCGTCAGCTGCCTCTGGAGTCCCACAGGCCAGAAAGATGTGATAGGACTCTTTCTTCAGCTTGACAGCATCCTTAACCACCGGTGTCCACCAGCGGGTTTGGGGGTTGCCACCACGACAGGCACCGATGATCCTGCGACCACAGCTCCGGTCGGCCGCCTCAACAATGGAGGCACGGAACAGGGTCCATTCAGACTCAATCTCCACCGCCTTCCCCGGAACATTTTTTGAAGTTCTGTCTGAGGTGGGAATTGAAGCTCCTTCTGACAGGAGACTCTGCCAGACGTTCCCAGCAGGCCCTTGCGATGTTTGGGCCTGCCTGGTCTGACCGGCATCCTCCCCCACCATCTGAGCCAACTCACCACCAGGTTGTGGTCAGTTGACGGCTCCGCCCCTCTCTTCTCCCGAGTGTCCAAGACATGCGGCCGCAGAGGGACAAATTAATCTGTGTAAAACGTCTCCATAATACATAAACACAATATTGTTGACTAGAGATGTGACTGCAGTGGTAGCGCCACACCCTCTGTTGTGCTAGCAGGGAATTGCTTTGCCACACTACCCAGTCAACAGAGAAATATGAAAGGAAAACGTTTCCATCAACGCGCGTTCATGTCGCTGCACCTGAGCTGACGGAGATGTTTAAACCTGGCTGAAGGTGGTGCTGTCATTCCCACTAGAGCAAAGAGACTCTTGGAAGTTAACCCTGAAGAACATTAACCTCTAGGTAACTTCACTGATGGCAGTAAATGCTAAAACTAACACTGTTTGTTTCCTGCAGCGAGGACAGTCCAGTGTCTCTGGAGAAACTGTCTCTGTCAGATCCTCCTGAAGCTTCAGAGCAGCCAGCAGAGGACTCGCCTGTAAACAACCATAATAATAAAAAGTAAGTATCCTCAGTTTTAACTTTGTCTTATTTTTACTCTTAACCATTAAAGTGAACCACATTACTACATCATGGTAGTCGTACAATCAGTATTGCTGCAGGACAGAAGTGTCACCTTTTTACCTGTCTTGAGCTTCCATGGAGAAGCAAAGACACAGGGATGGAACTTCCCAGTAATGTTTATTCAATCCCCTGTCGCAATGATACATGACTCAGTCCGTTATAAAAAAACAGCCCGATTAGGACAGCTGTAGTCCTAATTACAGGGATATAGTTAAAGGGATGCTATGCAACTTTTAAAATTTTTAAATTTTCTTGAGCCAGCACGTGCTAAAATGACCCTTTACAGGGTTAATCAAATTTCCCTCAGACCCCACCTCCCTCTTTGGCCAGAATGCCACACTTGCGACTTTAGAGTTGGCGGAGCAGTCCCTGTTGGGTCCCACTTTAGTCTTAGTGATGTGAAGCTGACATGCCTGGCGCTTCAGTCTGCTTCCAGCACATTTCCTACATGTTTTAGGTCGGGAACTAGGGCTGTCGCGGTAACAGCAAAAATGAAATATCGCAATATGAAGAAGCCCACCGCGCTGCATCATGGGCCACCGCGATTACTGAACTTGGTTCAACTCAATGATGCATGTTGAGAAGGATTGCTGCACTGGTATCAAAACGAAACGTTACTTCGCTCCTTTGGGAGCACTTTGGTTTTCAGTACGTCAGCTGCTGCGCAGCCAGAGTCCTTGGCCGAGACAGAGCTGCCACCAGTGGCAAAAAAATAATAATAAACGCTCGAAGACCTGCTGAAGTCCCGGACAAGCACTGCTTCTGCAACCGTCCCGAAGAGTTTGAGCCGAGCTGGAGCTCACTCGCTATCTGCAGGAGGAATGCATCCACCCTAAAGAAACCCCCCCGACATGGTGGAGCAACAACCGGGAGAGATTCCCTTTGCTCGCCAGAGTCGCACACAAGTACGTGTGAGTTAGTGCAACGAGCGCACCATCCGAGAGGGTTTTCAGTGTTGCTGGAATGTTGCCACCCCTCTCAGATCCTCTCTCAAACCGTATAAGGTTAACATGCTGGTTTTCCTTGTGGGTAACAAGGACGTGACCGAGCTATAAATCACCGTCATTCGTGTGTGTGAAAGTGAAATGATAGTGCGCCCGCCCCCCGGCGCGCGCGCGCCCGGTACATGTAATTTTTTATGCTTGATTTTAAACAACTAAACAAAATGGGGACTTGTTTCTTATTTGTTAGATGCTGCAGCCAAATTTGCATTTAAAAGTTTAACCTCCTGAATTTTGTTGTTTTTAAGTTCAGTCGGACTCCGACTGTCGGAAACAAGCGTTACTGCGATCTGTGTTGTTACTGCCTTGATCTGCATTCAGTAAAGTGTTATAAAAGAAGGCACGGCAATTTGTAACCTTTTTTAAATGTGTAAACATTATGTTTAGATAGTACTGCAATAAAAAAAGGGCTGCAATAATATCGCACACCTCAATATTAAGCCACCCTGAATCACCGCAGGGGGAATTCCTCAACCGCGACAGCCCTATCGGGAACACAGCTGTTTTGTTTGATTTAGTGATGAACCACTCCTGCAGACACTAGTAAAGGCTGGGGAGACATTTCAGCTGTTAGATTAAGCTGTTAAAAAGACGAATGCACAACGAGGAGATAAGGTTCATTTTTGCTTTTACAATCGTGTATTAATAACGGACTCTAGGGAGCGCTAAAAGCAAGCCAAAGTTGCATAGTTTCCCTTTTAACTCATTAACTGCCAGCCGTTTCCTGATCAGAAAAGCCCTTCACTGCCAGCATTTTTCAGAATGTTGCGCTGTAGGATGATGTCAGTGTCAAAACTACCAAAACAAAGAGGAGACTCATCGATTACATCAGGAATTATCCCACGCGTTTCGAGTATTATCAGTTCTTTCATAATCCGTTGTCAAATTGTAATCAGCAGAAGTTTTTCCGGTTCGCACCTCACTTTTTTTACAGCAGCAGCCCAAAACGATCTCCTAACACGTGGATTTTTTTTTTCCTGATCACGTGACGTATGTGGATGAAGAAAGGCTTTAGAGCTGGGATGTTTGTTCTCATGGTTCGGGGGCTCGTTCCGACGCCCACACAGTAAAAAAAAAATGCAAATGACGACTTTAGTCGTGATTGGTTGGATTTAAAATGATGACTTTAGTTGTCAATGGCAGTTAATGAGTTAAAGGTTAAACTCATGTTTTGGTTTCACTTTTCTGGTGCTTGACTCATAGAAGTAGAAAATGGTAAATGTCCCTCAAGGGGTCGCAGACTAACTTAAATGATGTTTTCTTCCTTTACAATGCTGTAGCAGGGTATCCGCGGGGTCTTAAAAAGTCTTTCAAGTCTTGAATTTGATTAAACGAAAATTAAGACCCTTAAAAGTCTTTAAAAAGTCTTAAATCGATTTAGTAAAGTCTTAAATTTGGTTATTATTGACGTGAATTTCAAATATGTTTGTCTCATACTTGCAAACTTGACGCTTTTCAGCGAAAATTGCCATTCATAAAACCAAATACGATTTTGTTTTTTAGAAAAGGTGATTCTTTGGTTGGGTTTCAGTCGCTCTTTTTAAGAATCAGTTTCAGAAAAACGAACAGTGTTCATCCTCTTCACAAACCATCTTTGTCAGTGGGTCACGAGCCGTCATTTGACCAATCACAGTCACGGAGACAGCTAGGCAAAAACACGCTGCGGTAGCTGGTATCACGGTACCGCTACTACTGTTGCTTCAACATCTCACAGCGGTTGGAGCTTAAAGTTCGTAAAATCAACATAATCCTCTCCAAGTACCACTGTTTATTGTCAAGAACTTTAGCAGGTTTGTCTCCTTTCAGTTTCAGCCTTAACTGATGTTTCCTGGGGCTTGTGTTCTTTTGGGGGGGAGTTGAGATCAGGTGTTAGTCAAAAACAAGTTTCCCAGTAATTAGACAGGTTCATCCTAAACCCCAAGAAGATTCTGACACAGACAATGTGCTGCAGTTGTTGTTTCAGATACGTACAAGCTAAACCCTTTTAGGCACGTCTTCCCTACATATGTCGCATAAGAGATTTGAAATTAAGAAGAAAAACGTGCAAAACAGCATGGATATGTTTTCAGTGAGATGTTATTAGTGGAAAATAAACATAAATAGATCAAAAGATGTTACTGATACGTGTACTATCATACTGTTGTGAAAAGTCAGCACAAATATGCAGTGAAAACTTTAAAAAGCTGCTCAAATCTTCATTATTTTATAGTGGCCCTGTCTATGTTTATAAAATCGGTTGCCACAGAGCCACTGTAGAAGGTCCAGTCCGAGTTAAGCTGTGGTAGCTGAAGAGGTACTGAGAAACGGTATTAAAGCTTTTGCTGTTTGCTTGTTAAAGTTGAATTCAAATAGAATATATAAGACATGAATTATATAATAATTTTATGTATATAAACAGTCGTGTTATAGATAAAAGGCAGAATAGATTAAAAAAAAATTCTTTTTACTTTATGTCGTGGCATTGACGTTTCACGTCCCACAGTGAGGAGTCTCTGGGATCTGGTCATCCTACTGAAGAATGATTACAGTAATTTGGAATAATTTCAGATATTTTTATGTTTGGTGTTCTGTGAATTAGTCTCATAATAACTGTTAATCATTATCTGATCAGTTCTGTCACTTTATTATGTTTAGCTCTCTTGAACAGTATGACTGGTAGAAAATTGCTTGCATTTTGCAAAGAAAATCACATTAAATTTTTTCATATTATTATTCTGAATAAAATAAATGTATGTAAATGGCAGAGGTCACTACAAAACCCACAGTAGAATAGATGCAAATCTGCAGCACGCGAGGACCTTGTTTGGGGGAGTTCATTTAGTTGTCACTTTTTCCACAGCCTCTGTGTTCGCAGGTATGAAAAGTAGATGCATGTAAATAATATTGTTTTTTGTTCTTCTATGCATGCGGTTTGCATTTTTGTACCACGTGGCTTTACGTATTATTGCTACAGCCTCGCTGTCCCGGATGTGACATAACCCGTCATGAAGTGGAAAACGAAGTGATGCAGTATTTAAAAACAATATGAGTGTTTAACAGTTGATTAGTTCTTTGCAATAAAGTCTTAATTTTATTTTTTAGAAAAATTAAAAAAGTCTTTAAAAAGTTTTAAATTAAATGTTGAGATCCCTGCATATACCCCGTGTTGGGGCTGGGCTATGAATCAAAAATTTATCGTTATCGAAATTTCTGAGTCTTATCGAGATAATTTTTCCCATGTCAATAAATTTGATAATGAAAAAATGAAAAGATGAGTGTAGATTGGCAACATTCATGTCCTTGTACCACCTGAGTCATGTAAAAATGTGACTGACGTAATACACGTGACAGCCCCATCTAGTGGAAAACTTTTATTCCTGCGCACATATGTAGTTATTGTCCATTCATCGTTATCGAGGTGAAATCCTCAATGTATCACGATACTGATTTTAGGCCGTATCGCCCAGCCCTACCCTGTGTATGTGGTTTTAATAAAACCTTGAATGTCAGATTTTATTTGCTGTCTTCTGTCGTTCTAACAGGGAGGAGTCGCCGCCGCCACTGTCCCAAGAAGTGTCCGTCAACGGGCCGGTGTGAGGATGAGGGGACACAGACACAGATCGGTGATGTCACCGCAGGCTGTGGGCCTCCTCCAGAGTGACTCCTCTAAACAACTTCACTGCTACTAAAGTGTTTTACCTGAATCACTCTGCCATGTTATTGGACCCGGACACTGCCAATCAGCACCGATAATGAAGCGGCGGAACAACAAAAAAAAAGAGAGAGAGAGAGAGAAGGAAACGCCCAACAGACAGAAGAGAGTCCAGAGAAATCTTCAAAGCTTTTTTCAGATGTTGCACATAATGACGTGCAGTTTTAATGTAGCAGTGATCTTTGAAATGACAGAATCCGAGGGGGTAACACCATCTATGTTATTTTTTTAATATCCAGACAGATTTTTCTCCTCCTTACCGATAGGGATTTTACATTCGGACCCCTGAGTGGATAGCACAGGCTTGATTTTTAATGATGCCTCAACAATAAATACCCGTTCTTTGAAAGACTTTTATTTTATGTTTCTTCAAGCTTACAGAAAAAAAGCACTTATGCAGCCATTTACAGGACGTTATAGCACAAAGCTTATTTCTGCTGGCTGTCTCATCTGTCTCGTTCAAATCCGAGTCTCCAGACAAAGTTTTGGGGTTTTTTTTTTTTTTTTTTTTTTTGGTTGCCGTTTCTGCAACTTGTCATACTTCACCGTGTTGGAATGTTGTGATGTGCTTCAGGAGGGTTGATGAACAGATATCTAATAGTATTACTGTCTTTTGCTCGTGCAATAATTCCAGTTAGCAGTTTTATTTAAAAAAAACTAACTTTTTTTTTCTTTTTAAGAATCAGTCCAGTGTTGGAGACATTTGGTGTACTTTTGGGCAAATTTGGGTATAATCTCAAGCAGAAGATTCTTATTTTTACATATTTTCTTATTTTTATGTGCATGTATATCAGGTTCTCTGTTGACCTAGCTAGTGAGCTAAGACCTTCTGATTGTAATGACTTAAAAGTTCTTTTTGCTTTCCCCCTTAAATCAACCAAACATTATCTACCTATATACAAATATTATCTACATTTAAAAGTAATTTTACAAGCAGTTTTAGGGTTATTATTGTTGTCTGTTCCTTTTTTCTTCTCTTTTCACCAAGCACTTACTCACATGGCTGGAGGGGCATTTGGTAAGAGTGACACGGTAAACGTTTTATCTTTTTTAACTTCATTTTCTGTCTGAGCAGCAGAGTTGGGACAGTGCTGGCCTGCAGAGCTCCAGGCCGCTTTGATGTACTTGCATAAATCATTTTAACATCAGTCAGGTTCCACAATCATTGTTTCAAGAGACATTGCAATTAAAAACATCTGGTTTTCCACATTATTAGCAACATTTTGCTTTGCCAGTCTGATTTTTTCCATGACTCTTCAGATTTTCTGAGGGTTTTTTCTCTCCTGCTGACATTAAGTAGACCTCCACTCAGGTTAAATCTCAGCTGTGAGATCTTTGAGTTGTGATTTTTAGTAGCGATGTGAACAAGTCAAACAGATGTGTTTTAGGTTGTTTTGGTCAGAAATCACCTCTCCTGTCATTCATGCAAGTTCTAACCTGGAAGCACCTGCATAAACACTTGCTGGTCAAGTCCAGGAACCCTGGTGGTGTCTTTCAGGTGGATAATGCCCTATGCATCAGTGTAAAAGTTCAATTATAGACTGATTGTTGTCTTAGCATCCCAAGTATTTTCTTTCTTCTTGTGCTTCTTTCTTAGCAGCTTTGGGACAAGCCAGACTAATCCAACCTCCCAATTTCCAGGGTCTGATCCTTCAAAGCAAACATGTTTTAACAAATATTAAAATATGTGAAAGTTTGTCTAAATAATAAGCTGTAATTGGACACAATGTCACAGGGCAGGTTCTTGACTTGAATTCAGAAAACATTTGGAGAAGAGCGTAAACAGAAGACCTAGTTCAACCCTTCTGATAGCAGTCCCTTCGGTGCGTCTGCTTCACAGAAACAAGTCATTTAAAGTCTGGAAATGTGCAACTCAAGACTATTCAGCATCACTTCAAGTTTCTGCAAACCCGTTTCAGAGGTAAATCTGCAACAGCAAGCCTGGTTTACAACAAAATTCATTCAGCTGCTGTGATGAAGTCTTAAAACCTGAGGTGAAGATGGATTTCAGAGCTGATGGACATTTTTTATTTTGTTTGATAACCTGAGGATAAGGGACATGAACTTTTAAGTGTTCTTCAGATCAAATTTTGCTTTCAGAAAGGTTTGCTTCATTGTAGGATGAGAGCTCACAAAACGAGCTCCAAGGGGGGCTTTCTGGAAAGAAATGGCACGATTAGTTGTAGCGTTTTTTTAGACTTAATCAGAGGATGCAAGGGACCCAGTGTGCTTTGATTAGTAGAATTATTAATGCAAAATAGATGCTGTAATCACTGATTGCTATTTTAAAAAATCCTACAATGAGCATAATACACTAAAAGAAATAAATTGACATGGCTGTGGAAAAAATATTTTCATGTAATTACATTTTACTTATTTTCACTGCAAGAGTTATTTAATGTCATCATTTAAATTATTAGGGTTATAGTTGGCACATTCATATAAAAAATATTAAAAACATTCCCATCTCACCCTCCGTGGGTGGTCTCATCCTTCCAAGCTTGGGTCCTCTACCAGAGGCCTGGGAGCTTGAGGGTTCTGCAGTGTGTGTGCCCTGTCACTGTGACTCGATTGCTCATGCGCCCCAGCTGGCTACTTGGTCAAGGGGATGTCCCTTTGGCTGACTGGTTGGCACATATGACTCTCACCTGAGAGCCTAGGGATCGAATCCCACCTGGACCCTTGTTTCTCCACCTTGCCACACACAGTCACCTAGCTGTTCTTAGACCTGCACTGTTCTGGACTGAGGTGTTTTTCCTGGGATCTGCTTTAGCCACTCCTCCAGTTAGGGGGTTACTGCCTCTAGTGCCCAGAGGACCATGGACACCAATGTCTTCACTCTCCAGGCTTTCTCAAGTTCTTTAGGCCCTGATACTTCTCTAGTTTCTTGTGTTCCTTTTTCCTGATGTTGCCATCACTTGGTATTGCCACGTAACCACAACGGCTGTCCGCTGTTGTTTGTCCACCACCACAATGTCTGGTTGGTTCGCTATCAACATTTTGTTGGTCTGGATCTGGAAGTCCTACAGGAGCTTGACTCTTGTTCTCAACCACCTTTAGGGGGTGTTTCCCACTTTGACCTTGGGGCTTTGAGTCCATACTCTGCACAGATGATCCTGTACATGATGCCAGCGCCTTGGCTGTGGCGTTTCATGTTTGCTTTCCCTGCCAGCATCTTACACCCTGCTGTTATGTGGTGGATTACCTCAGGGTCCTCTTTGCATAGCCTACACCTTGGGTCTTGTCTGCTGTGGTAGATCTTGGCCTCTGTTCCTTTGGTTTTCAGGGCCTGTTCCTGTGCAGCCATGATGAGAGCCTCTGTGCTGTCCTTTAGACCAGCTCTTTCTCCCCATTGGTAGGATTTCTTGACATCAGCCACTTCAGTTATCTGTCTGTGGTACATCCCATGTAGGGGTTTGTCCTCCCACAATGGTATTTCCAGCGTCTCCTCAGCTGTTCACCATTGTCTTAGACATTCACTGAGCATGTCATCTGTTGGGGCCTTGTCCTTGATGTACTTATGGATCTTGGATGTTTCATCCTGGACAGAGGCTCTCACTCTGACTAGTCCTCTGCCTCCTTCCTTACGGCTAGTGTACAGTCAGGGTGCTGGATTTGGGATGGAACCCTCCATGCAGGGTTAGGAGCTTCCGTGTCTTAACATCTGTGGTCTATATTTCTTCCTTTGGCCAGCTTATTATTCCTGCAGGATATCTGGTTACTGGCAGGGCAAAGCTGTTTATTTCCCAGATCTGGTTCTTACCATTGAGCTGACTTCTTGGACTTGCCTTACTCGTTGTAGGTATTTGGCTGTGGCTCTTTTCCTTGTGGCTTCATCGAGGTTGCCATTTGTTTGTGGAATACCAAGGTACTAGCAGCTGTCCCCAATGTCAGCTGTTGTTCCTTCTGGGAGTGAGACCTCTTCTGTGTGGATTACCTTCCCTTTCTTTGTCACCTTCAGACCCAGAACACACTTCTCAAGTCTAAATGAAGCTTGCAGCTTTATGCCATCCATGAAGAGGAGGTGGCTGATTGTGGTTCAATTGGTGGTATCCATATCCAGCCTTGTTGATTTTTTGGAACTCCTTCAAGACAGTTGGAAAACCATTTCAGATGACTACCTTTTGAAGCTCATCAAGAGAATGCCAAGAGTGTGTGAAGCAGCAATCAGAGCAAAGGGTGGCTATTTTGGAGAAAATAGAATGTGAAAGAATGTGGAGCACGAGGAATGTCCAACAGATGGCGCTGACACGTCCGAATAATGTCAGATTATGTAGAAATGACCGAAGAAGAATTCTCCACCAAACGATCACCAACGTGTGTTACGAATAGAAGTTTGTTTAACTACCTAATTCAGTTCAGCACAGGAGCCGGCGGACTGTTTTAATTGGATAAAAGCCGCATACAGACCAAGAAACTCGTACTAAAGAGGGCTGTCGGTTGTGGCTGGGAAGCTGCTGGGTGTTTGGAGAGCTAACAGCTAGAGAAAGTTTCTAACAGCAGCTGGGGAAAATGGACTTTAATATTTTCCCAGCCTTGTCGAAAGGTTAGTTGTTAACGAGGCTGCACACGTCTAACCAGCATACACGGTGTTACTGACGGCTAAGCTACTTAAACCAGTGCTTCTACTGCGGCTACACTAGCTTAAGTGCTGTATGGTTTTGATATTTATTGATATTTATTTATGTTTTGGCTCATTTTTGAGTAGCAACACTGTATTTATGTACATTTTGCTTCACAAATTGATCAACTGATTATGTTGAAAAGTATTGTATCGTAGCTAGCAAGTTTGGAAATCACTGTTGAGGTTTATGACCATCAAGCACTTAAACACTACTTTAGAAGTGGCTGTGACCCAAACTTGGATCTCTGTAGTTTACGTCGTGTGTGTGTGTGTGTGTGTGTGTGTGTGTGTGTGTGTGTGTGTGTGTGTGTGTGTGTGTGTGTTAATTATGACATTATTATTGCAGGTATGGCTGAAGAGCCAGCTTCTCAACCAGTGCCTGGGATCATGCTTTCAGCTTGTGATTCAGCAAAGATCAAATGGATTCTCAAAACAAAAATATTAAAATCTATCATTTTTATCTTAATCTTACACAACACAGTTCTTATTTTAGAACATCAAAATAAAAGCAATTTAAAGAACTGCAACATCAGTGTCACGATGTAAACCCATTCATTCAGTTTAAATGTGTTTTTTGTGTTCAAAAATGTGTCCCAAGAATCTCTTGAAGACCCACCTCTTCAGAGAGCATCTTCTAGTGGTTCCCAACCCTTTCTGACCCACAAAAAAACAGTCCAAGACCTGAGCCCCCTGATTTCTCTGATTTGACAATACAAAGATAAATATCTAAAGAAATAAAGAAAATGGCTCCAGATCATGTTCATGACCATTTTGTAATCGTATGTTAGAATGATAGCTTGCACAATTGTTTTTCTATTTTATTTAAATTTCTGGAAATCTTCTCATGACTGCCTGTGTAGCTCTTGGTGACACACAGTGGGGTCCCGACCCCATCTTTGGGATCCGCTGTTCTAGACTCTTCTACACTGACACCTCTGAAGCTTTGTTGCTAATCTCAGTGGTAACAGCTTTGTCATATTCTCCTTTTTTAAGTCACTTTGGATAAAAGTGTCTTTTACACACACACACACACACACACACACACACACACACACACACGTCCAATAATCTGTCATCAGACTCCAATAATGTCTCTCTGAAGCAAATCCTGTGACATTTTGGATGGGAGTAATTATGGTGCTGCATGTCTTCTTCTCAGATGGCGCCATACCCCTGGCATCACTTCGCCTCTTGGTCCCTCCTCTGCAGCTTATGACAGCCTCCATGTGGCAGGTCTTGAAGAAACAAGATGTGATGAGCTACTGGAAGGTGGCAGAGTTCATTGCTCTGGTGGTGGAGCTGGTCCCTGAGCTGCTGATGTACCAGCACAGAACCCAGCTAATCTTGGGACTTAGAGCCAGGGTGGGTAGCAGCACAAGAATGTTTGCCAACTGCATTGTAACATAGAAGCTAAGCTATGTTTAAAATAAACCACATATGGGTGAGTTACTGTGGATACACGTCTCATTGTTGAACCTTCCACCCCCCCTAGTATATTCTGGAGATATTGCAAAGTGAGCAGCTGGTAAATCCTGAAGTAATTTTCTCCTACCTGGACAAGATTAAACCACCTGACCCAACACTGGTAGGCACTCTAGTTTCTCTCAGTAGAATTTTTGTACCTAGGTAGATTATTTCCCCCTCTTAAGCAGTGTGGCTGTGTGATGTATCGCTTTATTTACCTTTCTGCAGGTAAGAGAATCGGATGACGATGTGTTAAATGCTAACTTTCTTGAAATGATTCAGGCACTGCTCAAGAATCCTGAAGAAAGACGATATTTTTTTAAGGTGAGATTCTTCGCTTGCTGTTCTGCAGAACAACAGTGTTATCATCTGTTGTTTGTAGGAATTAGCAGCTAGCTTTAAGAGGCATTATATTTAACTTGTTCATTCAGGATGGTGAAATTGAAGCGTTTTAGCTTATCGTGTTAATTTAAGTATAGTAGGAAACATGCAAATGCTGTGTTTCAGTTTTTGTGCTATCTGTCTGATTGAAAGGACATCTTCCCTGTGGAGTTTGGCCCTCAATATAATCGGGATTTGCAGTCGCTCTTCTCTGAGTTTCTGTGCCGACTGGCTCAGCTGTTACCTGTACCTGACCTGCAACAGGTGAGGTATTACATGTACTGCTGTTACAAATGTTTTGCTCCCTGACAGATTTCTTCAGTTTTTAATGTTTCAGATCAGCAGGGGCATTTCAGTGTTAATGATAACTTATAAAATATTAATAAAATAGTTTTCAGATGTTTCATTCATTTATTAAAGGAAATAGCTGTTTAAAAAAAATAGCTTGTTTAAGGTCAAAGGTCAGATGTTCAGCTTCAGGATTATCTATTAGTGATCAGAATTCATGGTTCCACCAATTACATATATATGTATGTATATATATATATATATATATATATATATATATATATATGTATGTATATATATATATATATATATATATATATATATATATATATATATATATGTACAGGTGTGCCTTAGACTGCCCACAATAAAAGGACACCCTGAGTTTACCGGTCGATCTACGTCCCAATCCTCACCTATGGTCATGAGCTTTGGGTAATGACCGAAAGGGTTAGGGTTAGGGTTATATATATATATATATATGTATATATATATATATATGTATATATATATTTATATATATATATATGTGTGTGTGTGTGTGTGTGTATATATATATAAACGTTTTAGCAGCACATTGATTGTGAAAGACAACTGAACGCTCACCGTGTGCAAAATAAATAAATCAATGAATCTCTTAATATTTATTGAACTTCAAATATAAAACGAACTCAAAACATAATAAAAAAATGGTGTTGGGTCTTTTGAGTCCTTTCTTCAGTCTATTAGTGGCGGCAGTTGGCCACACAGGTACCTGATTTATTTATTTATTTATTTAATATCTGCATTTAAAAGATTTATAGAAAAAAAAAGGAATATATTAGGTGAGTAACTCAGATAGTTCGGTGCACAGTCCTGCAGAGACTTAAAGACAAAAACAAGTATCTTGAACCTGACTCTGAAAGATACTGGAAGCCAGTGCAGATTGGCCTTGGAAACGCTAATGAAAGCCATTTTGGCCATAGAGCCATGTTGATTTTGACGAGCTTTGCTCCCTTAAATCAAATCTTCTTATGAAATATGCATTTTATAGCTACTCAGGTTATCGTCTGATACTGAAATTTGTTTGTTGATAAGTGATCAAGTACTAGATGCCTTGAGCAAGAACAAAACGGACACATTGGACACAGGAAACATAAATTAGCTCCGTGTTTCAATTCTGTAAACAAGAAGTTCTCGTGTCTTTGCACAGCCAAGCATTTAAATAAATGTCTGACTTTGCTTCTTTGTAAATTTGTTCTTTTCAGATCAGGTAGTTGTGTCAGAGATACCCGAGCTGAACACAGCCGTTACCGTTTGTCACCGGGGGTTTTAGTAGATATTTTTGTGTCGTATGTTTTTCTCAGACCGTTTCCTGGCTCGGAGCGGAGTGCTCTCTGTTGGACGACTGTGTCCTGGTGGTCTCTGAGTCTACACACCTGGTCAACCTGCTGCAGCTCCACAGAAACCTCAAACATTTGGAGCAGCATGGTAGGTCACTTTCTGTTAGGGCATCTGTTGTAACTCTGAGTTTAACTGAACTCCTCATGCCCTTTTTGTGCAGTTCCACCTGCTAGCATGGGCGACAGCATCCTCTCCTCACTCTCTGCCTTTTCGCTTCCAAAAGAAGTCAAGAGGGTGGACCAGCCCCTGCAGACAGAGCCACTGCCAGACCACATGGGTGACATTCAGACTGTGGCTCTAGTGGAAGATAACGTAGCTGACATAATCCTGGTTTCGGATTGTGCAGAGGTTGAAGTAAGCATGACCACGGACAACGAAGAGATTAACACAGAAGACTGCTTTGAAGGAACAAACAGAGGAACATTTTCTGAAGACAAGACCAGTGAAGAACTGTTAGAAGAGGAAGTACCACAAATCTCATCTTCCTCTCAACAAAAAGTCACCCCAGGGCTGCATGACTGCCCAGACTGTGGGAAGAAGTTTAAGTTTTCCTCTTCGCTGCTGGCTCACAGCGTCATCCACACCGGGGAGCGACCCCACCGCTGCAGCGACTGCGGCCGCTGCTTCTCCTTCCGGCAGTCCCTTGACAGGCACAGACACACACACAGAACGGGGCGCATGTACGACTGCATCATCTGCGGGGAGACTTTTCACTCGCTGTCGGCTCGCAAGCAGCACAAGCAGAGACACATGGAAGATGGAGTTTACGCGTGTCATCAGTGCAACAGGAAGTTCAGCTGGGAGCTGTCGTTTGTGAAGCACCTTAAAACTCACGCTGATGATGGAAACACGATCAACCCTGGAGAGAGTTACTGGGAGCAACAGGAGGGTCTAGGACCTGACACCAGCATCAGGGAAGCTGAACCTGCTCGTCCCGAACATTCAGTGGAAGCAGGTGACAGAAGTGATCATCCAGGGAGCAGCGATCCAGGAGGTCCTGCTGGAGACGGAAATGAAAGTGTCCTCCTTCCCGTGAAGACTCGCACAAGCGGACGCCAACGCAAACCGACCATGAAGGTCCAGGTGACAAATCTACAGAAGCATCTGGCCAGCAAACAAAGAAAGGAGATCATAAAGGCGACTGCTCCTGCGCTGAGGCCTTTACCTTTGGCTGGGTAACCTCCCACTCCATCAGAATTTCATGTTTGTTTCGCTCAGATGATGTCAGTGATTTGTTGGGTTTCTTCAGAAATATTCAGCTGATTAAGGGGAGGTAACTTTTCTCTGTTCTAGCTCTGAGCACTCATATGGATCATCTATGGTCTCAAAGGAGGGAAACAACAGTGAGTTTTCATATTAAAGTTGTTTTCTTATCTGTGTTAAGCCCCCATGACACCGCAGCCTTCATCTGCATATTTATCACATAGTTACTGTCCAAGTGATTCAACAACAGCTGTGTTTCCACTCCCGCAACTTCAGGGGTTTCCCAGACCATTTTCAGAAACTTTCTCCGAACGGCCCAGTGGAGCAGCTGAGCAGAACCTTTGATTAACTCATGCTGATTGGTTGTAACTCGGTAGGAAATGACATCATCAGACAACTGGCATTAGTAATATTAGACGAGTTGCTGGAGAAGCAGACTGGAAGCAAAATAAAGTAAGAAAAGATCTAACTCCCGACACCGGAAACACGGGGAAATCCCCCCGCAGACTTAATTAACGGGGCTTTGTTGTCTCAGAGCACTGTAAAAAACTGCACTTCTGGTCATTGAATGCCACATTTTACATCACACAGCTGCTCTCGTCCTCTAATTGGATTAAATTATGATATACGTTGACAGAATAAATGCTTTTGATGTGAGTAATGTGTAACGATTAAATTTACATATTATTACTGAACCATAAAATGTGAGATTCTTTAGGAAATATGAAATCAGTCTTATGGATTTTTGGATATTTTAAACCAGAAGATTGGAACTTTTTATTGCAGGGATTATGTAACAACTTCATGTTAACTCAGAGACGAAAGAGAGTCAAGTTTCAAAAGTTTAAAGATTTATTACTAAACAAATTAAAACTAGACTAACTTTAAACACTAAACGTATGATGTAACTAAGGTGAAGTAAGACTGAGGATGGTGTATGTGTGAAATGTTGTTCAGAACCAGCAAATCCGGAGAAACGATTAGTTCTGATGGGAGTGAAGATGTTTTGCGCTAAGCTTTGTTTTGGAGATTCAGAACACACATTGAGATGCCTTGGCAGAAGTCCCCATTAGATCAGGAATGTTGAGGTCCAGCTTGACGACCTCTGGCACGGAAGCCGGTAGAAAAGCAGCGGATGCCGACCAGACCAGTCTTCAGATACTTCCAGGTCACGACAGTTTATTGGCGTTTAGCAAGACCCAAAAAGGGGGTCGTGATGGTTCAGCTTTTATTCTGAAAGGAACCGTTGCAGCAGGTGGAACATGCAACAGATTTAATCCAGTTTGCCGTCAGGTTCTTTTGGCTGAAGAGGAAAGTTATGAATTGGCCACTCCGACAACTTCTCTAGAAAGCTTTGAACTGAAGTTTAAGATGACGTGGGCTTAGTTTCATAATTTGGATGTTTTGATTTATGGTCGAATCAAAAAAGGACAGATTTACCAAGCACCACCAAAACATGCCTCGCGTCAGATCTGGAAAGCTCTGATTGGATCAGAAAAAGGAAACATTACGTGTGATCAGTCTCTAGTGGAAACATTTAACGTTATATTACTTATTATAACTACTGATCATAAACATTGTCATTTCACAGATTGGTTCACATTTTATTATTAGACTAACGCTTTGTTTGATTAGCTTTATTAAAAATAAGAGTTCTTCAGATTTATTAAAATGATGAGTAAGGACTCCTCTCAGAGTAAGGACTCCAAAGCGCTTTACACTACAGTGTATCATTCATCCATTCACACACACATTCATACACTGGTGGAGATGAGAGGCGAGGCTGCCGAGCACAGGCGCCACCGGACCCTCCGACCACCACCAGCAGTCAAGATGGGTTAAGTGTCTTGCCCAAGGACACAACAGCAGAAACCTTCCTATTATTGGACAACCCGCTCAACCTGTTGAGCTACTGCTGCCCCCCAAAAAAAGTCCTTTGTCTTCATTCTTCTCTTGAGCTGGAAAGGAATACAGTTTCGAAGCAGAGCATGAGACCTTGAGCAATATCTCATACAGATTAGTTCTGTGTCAGAAACTTCTGGTTTTGCTTTGAGCAGAGCAAAACAGAGCAGGGCCTTTTAGGTCTGAAATGGACAATTCATCACGTTACAAATGTTACTGTAGATGCTTTTTGATGCTGATCAGTGACATCACTCATTGCCAAAGTGGTTGCGATATGCTAACGTCTGTGCAAAGTCCTGAAAAGGCTGAATTTCAATGGAGACACAACAGCTAAGAAGACCGGGACATCGTATCTCCTGGTCAATTTCCCCATCCCAGGAATTACCCTGAAGTTCTGGTAAGGGAAACACAGCTAATAAGAAAGAGGTGGAAGCAGAAATGGCTTCCAAAGCGCATTAAAACAACACATAAGGACATTTCACATTTACCAAAATGTATCTTGATGGTCCCCATGAATTAGGGACTGGTGGAACTGTCTGGACTTTGTGTGTACTGTTACATCTGACATAATACTCCAACATGAAAGATTTAAGTCCCATTAGTTGTCTCACACACACACTGGTGTGTGGCGAAATTCGTTATCGGCATTTGAGAACACTCCAGTCGAACCCCTTAATGCTGAGTGTCAAGCGGGGAGTCTTTGGTATGACTCGATTGTGGATTTGAACCCATGATCTCCCAGTCTCAGGGCCGACACTCACTGGGCTGGTCCTACAGTTGGATCTTACCAAAGAAGGTAGTGTGGTCGGTGGTGATGTGATGGTCTTGGCCAGCTTTGCTGTGATTATTGGAACTATGAATTCTTTCTCTCTACTAGAAAATCAGGTAGAAGTATGTCTGACCTTTGACCTTAAACTAGATGCTGAAAACCCTCCAATGTGGCGGCTGTCACACAGTTCTGATTACAGTTGTATTTAGGTTTAGTTGCTTTTTCACTTTACGGATTTAAATAATCTGAATTCTACATTTTGTATTTACTCAGTTTATCTTTACAGGATTTTAAAACGTGTTTGCTGATCTGGAGCATTTTACGAAAAAGCAAAACCAGTAAAGGGGCTGTTTACAATAGAAAAGGTTGTGGACTGAAGCCCAAAATGCTACCTCTGATATCTTTTTCCTTGTGTTGTCTTTGTCTCCATAAGACTCTCCAGCAGAGACCTCACCACCGGCCTTCTTCTGTCCCCAGTGCTCCTTCCACCACCCAGAAGAATCGCAGGTCCTGCAGCACATTGCCGACGTCCATCCGGCTGAAGCTGTGGAGGAGAGTTTGATGTCCCAGCCTCCCACAGGTCAAGAACCTTATCGTTGTGCAGACTGTGGCAAGACGTTCCGCTTCAAGTCCTTACTAAAGGTCCATCGACGTGTCCACACGGGCGAACAGCCTTTCTCCTGCTCTCAGTGTGGACGCCGTTTTTCCTTCAAACAGTCGCTGGAGAGGCACAAGCAGACACACAAGTCTGGACACAAGTTCAAGTGTCTTCTCTGCGGGGAGCTCTTTAAATCTGTGGCGGAGCAGCGCTCGCACAGGAGCGCACACAGGGAGGACGGGGAGTACCTGTGTTCAGAGTGCGGTCAGGCTTTCGCCCGGAAGTCAGTGCTGATAAGGCATCTCAAGACCCATGACATGGACCCGGATGGGATGGAAAGTTCTTACAAGTGTCCTCGCTGTGACCTGGCTTTCAGCTGTGCCAGCTACCTCACCAGGCACCTCCAGAGCCACAAAGAGGAAAAGACACACACCTGTAACTGTGGGAAGAGCTTTGCCTACCGCTCTGCTCTCACAGCACACCAGCGCATACACCAGAAGGAGCGGCCGCATATCTGCTCGCAGTGCGGAAAGGGGTTCCTTTATAAGGGGGGTCTGCTGAGCCACATGAAGATCCACTCTGAGGAAATGCCCTTCATGTGCTCCTTCTGCGGCAAGAGCTTTAAGAGAGAACGCAACATGAAGAAACATGAGCGCTGTCACACCAGGGAGAACGTTTTCAGCTGCTCGCAGTGTGACAAGAGCTTTGTTTATAAGGCCACACTGATCAGACACGAGCTGACACACTCTGGTGAGCGGCCATATCTCTGTTCCGTCTGTGGGAAGGGTTTCTTCTCCCACGCGGAGCTTTTAAAACACGAGCGCTTCCACACGGGCCACAAGCCGTTCCAATGCTCTCACTGTGGCAAGAGCTTCACCCAGTCCTGCTACCTGACCATCCACCTGCGCTACCACACAGGAGTCAGGCCGTACTCCTGCTCCGAGTGCGACAAGAGCTTCCTGAGCGCCAACCGGCTGAAGAGGCATCAGCGGACACACTCTGGGGAAAAACCCTATCTGTGTGTGGAGTGTGGGAAAGGCTTCAGACAGTCTTATCATCTGAAAGTACACCAGCGAACACACGTGTCATGAAGGAGATCGAGGCGCTTGGAGCTACTTGAAATGTTTAAATTGAGCCTTTAGACTGAAAGGCACTAGTAGAACGTCTTGAACGTAATCCTGCAAAGATGGTCTTGTTCTGCGTTTTCAGTAAAAACGCATTTGTTCTGTAAGCTGTCTGGCTTGTGTAATTAATGACTCTCGAATGATTATAAGTTTTATTATAAACCCAATCTTTATTTGTGATTTTGAGCATGTTTAACAGCAAACGTAAAATCCATCCTAAAAATCAGCTTAGAAATCTTTTTAGTGTTGCAGCACGAGGTTTGCTGAAACTTCAGTTACAGAAAGAAGACACGAGCTACAGCATGTAACATTTCATGTGGGAAAAAAAGGGACTAAACTAAGCTACCACAGAGAGAGAATGGGAATCCCTCCAGACTGGACCGATCTACGGTGACCAAGCTCGATGACCTACACAGCTATGTGCAGAGTGATGGGGCAGTGGTCGCTTCCCATCGCCTGATTACGGATCTTGCTGTCGCACAGGCCCTGCAGGAGGGAGGACGACAGCACAAAGTAGTCAAGCCTCCAGCCCACGTTCTTGGAGCGAGAGTTCATCATGTAGGTCCAGAAGGTGTAGGCGTTGGCCTGCTCGGGGTACAGCTCGCGGAAGCTGTCGACAAAACCATTTTCCAGCAGCTGGGTGAAGCCTTCGCGCTCTTCTGGGGTGAAGCCCGCGTTTTTCTTGTTGCCTTTAGGGTTTTTCAGGTCAATCTCTTGGTGGGCTACATTGAGGTCACCACACAGCACCAGAGGCTTCTGGATGTCGAGCTCGCTCAGGTAAGCTCGGAAGTCCACGTCCCAGGTTTTGCGGTAATCTAAGCGAACGAGGCCTCTGCCGGAGTTCGGCACATAGGCCGTCACAAGGTAGAAGTTTGGGAACTCAGCAGTGATGACTCGGCCCTCTTTGTCATGCTCCTCTTTGCCTGGGGGATTGGAAAGGGATTTTTATGTAATCAAAAATGTGACTGAAGTAAAAGTTCAACAAACATTCTCATTTTTCCCCAAATATTTTAGGGAGCTAAGTAGCACCCCCTATTGTCTTATTAAATCTCTGTGGACAAACCAAAAATTAAAACTTATTTCCTCGCTGTGTGTTCATCTTTTTAAAACCTTAAGCTAACTGAAATGTCTCCTCTGCCTTCATTAGTTTCTTCAGGAGCTGTTCATCACTATATGTAACAAATCAGCTGTGTTCACCATCTAAAACATGCAGGAAACGTGCTGGAAGCAGACTGCAGAGGCAGGTATGTCCGCTCAATTGTTTTTAAGTTTTAAGCTGCCTGCCCCACTGAAGTTGCAAGTGCAGTATTCTGGTCACGGGGGGGCAGTGGGGTCTGAGTGATATTTCATTAACCCTGTAAAGCAGGGATATTCAAGCTCATTTTAGTTTTAACTTTATTTCAACACACCTGATTTCAATCAGCAGGTGATTCAACCACTGAATTGAATGTGTTGGAGCAGAGAAACCACCAAAACATGCTGGATACCATCCCTCCAGGCCTAGAATTGAATAGCCCTGCTGTAAAGGGTCATTTTAGCACATACTGGCTCAAGAATATGATTTTAAAATATGAAATATTTGCATAGTATCCCTTTAAAAATAGAATCTTTCCAGCTCTCTCAAAAGATAAATTTGTATTTATCACTTCTTATTTTTCCAAAGCCCAAATGTCAGAAATGACACAACATACAACCTGTTTGTTTACCTTTTCCCAGAAACGTGACTTTTTTCCTAAAATCACACAAGAGATATGTTACCAAACCAACACGTCCTCATCCAGAGAAAACATTTCACTCACCAATTCCATATGTTACTTTGACAGGTTCAGTCTTGCATAGCATGGCTACACCACTGTATCCCTCCTTATCATCTGACACAGCCCAGTACTTGTAGGGGTACTCTGGCATTGAGGTGATCTCAGAGGGAAGAGCTTTCTCTGAGCACTTGGTCTCCTGGAGGCACAGAACATCTGGAGCCTCCTCACGCACCCACTGGGAAAATGAAAGTCAACCTTCAGATTGTTTATGATGAGCCTCATGCAGCAAAACTTTTTCTCTAACTCACATCAAGCCCCTTCTTTTTCACCCATGCCCTCAGCCCATCCACATTCCAGGAGGTGATCTTCATGTTGGCACTGCGGCCATCTTTACTGGTCATTTTGTCAGGAGGATCATCGTACAACACCGGTGCCTCTGGTTCTTTAGCCTTCTTTGCTTTCTTTGTAGAAGCTGACACAAAGAAACGAGAAAAAAAAAATAAATCACGAGCGTTGAAGATCTTTATTTTCTTCAAAGGGAACAGCAGATTTGTAGGTGTAGCGTTGTTGTACCAGAGTCGGCATCATTCTCGCCCTCTGCAGCTGCCTCTTCTGTCTTCTTGCCTCTCTTCATACTGGAACTTGTTCTAACGGCAAACACACCTTGCAGACACACAACACGCACACGCAGCAGCACACACGCCGCTGCAAACACAGAATTAGGGTGCAAAACTCTAGAATGCAGCAATCAAGTGCAACACGGAGTGGTTTTCACTTTAAGATGGTTTTGAACTTAAAAAATAACGACCATATGTTTTTGGTTATTACACAAATCTAAAGACAAAGTTTGTTACCCTAAAGCGGGGCCACTGCCTTGCATGTTTTAGCTGTTGCCTTCTTTACAGCATGTTAAGTTCTTCAGAAGCCTGTTGATCACCCTATGATTCAAACCAGGTGTGTTGGTGCAGTAAAACATAGAAAACATGCACGCTGGGGCCCTCAGGGACCAGGATGGCATGGCCCTGCCCCAAAGCATGGGTCTGCAACCTGTGGCTTTGGAGCCACACTACGACCTTTAGCTCTTTTGAACCGGCTCCTTGTAACTTGGCCATAAACGACATGAACCTGAGTAATGTTTGCATTTAAGATGACCTCAAAGATAGATATAGCTCTTAATCAATTTCCTGCAATAAGTACAGTTTCCACAGCTGAATGACACAAAAATGATGAATAAGTAGTTTTTTCCCCATCATTTCCTACAAAGTTGACCTCATAATAAAGTTTGCTTTTCAATACAAAAGAAATCAACATCAGTTATTTGTGAAGGCGAGAAATAACCAACTGCGCTTCTGAACCTATTTTATTATCATTATTTATTTAACCTGTAAACATTATTTTAGGGATCAGACTGTGTGGCGTATTTAATATGAGGTCAAAGTGGTTCTACCATATGGGTTGCAGACCTCAGAACCCTGTCGCACAATTTGTTACACATATAGTTACTGTACGTCACTTTTATTTATTTCATATTAACTCTATATACAAACTGTAGCCATTGGCAGCGAGCCACTTTCCCATTACAACCAGAAGACATCCTGGTTTTGTGGAGTTAACCAACTTCAACATAAAGCTGAAACCTAAAGGTTGGTTCAAAACCTGCTTGCAGCAGCTTTAAACTCCGCGGGTGCGTTTTAGCAGGACCCTTTAAAATATGCGTAAAGGGGAAATGAGGTTTTGAAGTTTTAAATGTACTTAATGGTTAAAAATATGGGGGACAATGCTGATTTAAGTGTGTTTATGGTAAATAAAAATATTCATATATTTGACAATACAGTTGTAAAATATATAGGGTAAAACATATTGGGAAACGCGTCTGTGCAACACAAGTGTAGCTGAAAACACGCTGTGCTAAGGCTAGCGTGTCTCCATAACAAAGGGCAGCAGGCGGCCTGCACCATGAATGAATGACAGATTAATCGAATCGCAAATTAGGCTTCAAATGAACTTCAACGACTTGCCAACAAATGCAAATGTGCTTAAATTAAAGTCTCATTTTCACAGCATTTCCGGAAAAGAAGATGCAAATAACCTTACTTGTAACAGGATGCAAAACCCTAGTAGCAAACGCCGCTCCAGTCACTCCCCCACACATACAACAACGATTTTATTCAGGGCACGTGCTGGTTGGACTTGGTAGCTGCCCTTAAATATGCCTGAAAAATTACCAATAGGTTTCACCCCAAACTTAGGAGAAATAAATACAGCATTTTGTTCAATATTTTTTTCCACTCAGCTGAAAAAATTGTATTTTTTTTATTACGATGTGTGGACAAATATTTTCGAAAGATCTTTATTATAAGGCGAATTTAACAGCGCAATATTTGGGTCATCGGAGCTGCAGAGGCTAACCGAGCTGAAATGTTCAACTGGAACGAAAAGTAAAGGATAAGCAGACCGTTTAAAGTTTATTTGTTTTACTTTATTAACGAGGTAAAATATTCTCTGGAATATACACCGCTCGCGTGACAGTTAACGTAGGCGTTTGCCTCACAGCTTTGTTTTAACTTTTCTGATCAATTCTGTTCAGAATGATCCTCTAAACAGGTTCTTAGAATGGGTTAATAATATGTAAATGGTTATTTATTTAATTACGTAACTTGTGGGCTGAGTGTGCAGCTGTAGCTAATGGTTTTAGGAATTACACAATTATAGCTTTCATAATGTTAGCTGCTTCTGGGTTGTTGGATCCTTTTGCCAGATGTTTCTTTGCTTTTGAGCAAAAAAGCAGTTTTTGTTCTGGAACTCAAACTAAACTTTGCACATATTTAGTACCTAATGCAAGACTGATTAATGTACTATGCAGGAACCAGTGTGATCTGTTTTTCGGTTGCTAAACTGTAGGGGACAAAGTCCCTATTATGATTTTTTTTACAGAATGATTAAACCTGTTAAACATCATATGAAATATGGAGTTTTTGACAAGTAAATTTATTTAAAAAAACACGTATAGAGACAAAGGTTGGTTTTACCTCAATGAGAAAAAAATCTTACATTGTTAAAATTCTGATTTGATTTTCGTCTTGAGGGATTGCCGTGTGTGTGTGTGTGTGTGTGTTTTATCTTGAAAGGCATTATACGAAATTAAAAAAAAGTATTTTTATGAATCTTTTCTTCTCACTTGGCTGAATGAATTAGCATCTTTACATTTCAGATACTGTACCTGGTTACTGTTGAGGTCTGTAGAAAGCTCCTTTCATGTCAGGATCCTCTCCAGCTATTGATCCTGGTTTCTTACTTCCAGGAGAGGAAGACCGGTAACAGTCTTCCTGGTACATTCCCAAAAATGACCATTATGCAGTAGGTTGGTTTTACATTGGCTTTTATAGAAAATAAAACATAGAAAGTAGTACAAACAAGACAATGTGACCCCCTGAGCCCCCCACCTCCATGATCATCAGTCAAAAGGGCCACAAATCTCCTCATGCATCCTTAGCGTAGCCCTCCCCATTTCGTGGCATGGTACATTTCTATTGGATCAGTAAATGGAAATGTGTAGAGATCTGTGTGCATCACAAATCTCATCTTAAATGAACAAGATATGAAAAGCATTGGTGTTGCTGCATCTAGTCTGATTGTGTAAAAAGAAAAACACTTCTGCGTACTTTTGTACTGGATAGATAAACAACAAAGACATGACCTAACTAAGCCATGCCTCCGATCAAAATAATTATCTAACACTTGCAAAAGGAACTGTCTTGCATCTCATGCAGAGTATTTTGTGCTTTTTCTTTCCAGCTACCATGACTGTAGTGATTGGGTTTGAAGGCAGTGCCAATAAGATAGGTGTTGGCATCATAAGGGATGGCGAAGTGCTTTCCAACCCAAGGCGTACCTATATAACACCACCTGGTCAAGGCAAGTTCTGTTAAACCCTCTCAATCTCATATTTGGCGCTGACAGGTTGCCTTTATGCACAACAGGGTTCATGCCGAGTGACACAGCCAGGCACCATCGTGCAGTCATCCTGACTGTCCTGAAGGAGGCGCTGGAGGAGGCGGGGCTGAAGCCTGCAGACATCGACTGTGTGGCGTACACCAAAGGTGATGGATAAACCAGTGTGCTGTGCTTCTATTGAGTCAGCCTTTAAAGTCAACCTCATCCAAGATGGCCAGCACAGCTTATTAGCCTTAACAAAGGCAAAGATATCTATAACTCTTAACTGTAACATAACAGTGACCCCGAAGTTTAAACTAAATATAACTCAAATACAAAAGTTGTGCTGTAGCTTTTGTATTGAACCTTCTGGGCCACCATACTGAGTCTTTCAAAACACAAATTCAGTTTGCATTATTTTGTGCATCACTGTCGTTTCTAGATTTGTACAGAACCGCTGTAACTTCAGTCTTTCTCCGTTTTAGATCATCTTAGTTTAAACCTCTGCCATGAAAGACAGAAGGTGATTCACCTTTAACAAATTTGTCATCTGTCCTGAAATCAAAACGTTTTCCCCGGTTATTTGGCTTCCATGTGAATTTAAATGAGTCAAGTGTTTCTTATAGGTTTTATGGTATAAAAGGAAAGGGAGTGAATGTCTGTGAACCCTTCAGCCCTCAGACAGAAGCATCAAGAACCGTTATTCAGTAATAAATGTAGCTGGGTTACTTTTAAAAGGCTCTGTCAGGCGATGTGGAGTATCAAATAATTCAGGATACTCCGTTTGTTATTGGAAAATCCAGATCTAACTAGCAGTTATTTCCTTTAGGTCCTGGAATGGGAGCCCCCTTGGTAACCGTAGCAATAGTGGCACGAACAGTCGCACAGCTTTGGGGCAAGCCGCTGCTTGGCGTCAACCACTGCATCGGACACATAGAGATGGGCCGACTCATCACCAAGGCCAGCAACCCCACGGTGCTTTATGTTAGCGGGGGCAACACACAGGTTGGTTTCTGCCCCAGTCGGTAAATAAAGCTTCCATCTTTTATACCAGTTCGGTTTGTGATGAAGGTGAAAATGTAATTTCCACTCCCTTGTTGCAGGTCATTGCCTACTCAGAGCGGCGGTACAGAATATTTGGGGAGACTATTGACATTGCAGTCGGCAACTGTTTGGACAGGTTTGCCAGAGTCATTAAGGTTTGTGTTTTTTACTTCCCCGTCTTTATCGCCTGCTGCCAAAAAACAGGCAATGTTGCTTTTTTCTTGTTTTTGCATTTTAGCAAAACATGTCATGATCTATTAATGGATTTTCTTCTATAAATGATCATATTTTGTAGTCAACTCAACCATCTGACCTTTAAAACACAAAAGTGGCTCTAATTGTTGACAGCCCAAACATACATATGTACACATTGTGCAAAACTGTCAGAAATTGCATATTTTATGTTCAAGTTTTAAACAAAAATGAACAATTCAGTCATTTCTAAACCTTAAATGATTCTAGTTTAAAACTTTGACATAAGTTGGTGGGCAAATTCTTTCCAGAAAGGCCAGTCTTTTAATTATTGTAGGAAGTTGAAGTCTGTTCAGCTTTTTACAACAAATGTGTCTCTTTACAGATTTCTAATGATCCCAGTCCAGGTTATAACATAGAGCAGATGGCCAAAACGTGAGTAGAACAGTTATGTTCACAGTACTGCATGCTTAGTGCTTTCATTTTTACACGCCTTTATATTTTATGTTTCAGAGGGACTCAGTATGTGGAGCTGCCTTATACAGTCAAAGGAATGGACGTGTCATTCTCTGGAATTTTGTCCTACATTGAGGTGTGTGGTTTGATTTTTGTGAAACTGCAGCTGGATTTGGAAATGCTATAATTTATTGTAAGGACTCAGGACTGAGTATCAGTATTAAATATATGAATTTCTTTTCTAGACTGGGGGAAGGATTTGGAGATTTTCAGCTTTAGTCCAATCAATGGCTGGTTTACAATTACTTCAAAAAATATTGATGTTAAAAGTGTGGTCAATTGAAAAATCTTTTTCAATTACTATTTCTGATTATAATGATCAGCCACTGAGTTTTTCATGCAGGCTGAACATGAAAATAGTCTCCTACACCTATCCTGCATGCTTCTGATAGAAAAACTGTGAAATGTTAGGATCACACTGTCACTTAACATTCATGGACTCACCCATTGTGACTCGTGATGGAGAAGGCTGTTGTTGGTTTAGCATCCAACAAACAGCAGAGAACATCTCGGTTAGTAGAAGCTAACTGTTAGCATTAGCAATTCCACCACATGGCAAAACTCCTCTTGACGTATTTGTGGAGATAAAACATCAACATTGCAACGTAAACAAAGTCAGTGGTAGCGTTGCATTCCTGTTAGCCAATCAGAAGTGAGATGTCCAAATATCAGGAAGTAAGACTCCAAATCCTTTTGTCGGAAGCTTTCTAGATCCTGAAACAGGTACACCAGGGCTTTTTGTACCCAGAGTACAACTCTTGAGGCATTCATTCATACTAGAGACCACTGCAAATGTATTGATTAGAGTGAACAACACCTTAATGAAAGGTTTGGAGGTCATTCTCACTGTTGGTGAAGCATAATTAAACTAGCCTCCTCTCTTGGCCACCTACAAAATGAACACTTCATTCTAATCTCCTCTTTCCCCACACATATCTAGATGCACCCTTATCTTAAATAAATTAATTAAATTCTTGGAAAACCAAATTTAAATGTGCATTACTTGATCTCAATGGTTGCTGTTCATTTTTGCAGGAAGCAGCAAATAAAATGTTGAGCTCGGGTCAGTGTACAGCAGCGGACTTGTGTTTCTCCCTTCAGGTACTCGTGTTTCTTGTTAGTGAATTCTTCCTTTCATCAGTCTGAGAATGTGGTTTTTGTAAAAGGCTGCAGTTTCCCCTTAAAATGCTCATTTATCAAAACGGTGCAGCTCATCTGTGACTGACTAAAGCTCATATTGATGTAAAACCTGCAGGAGACGGTATTTGCCATGCTGGTGGAGATCACAGAGAGGGCCATGGCTCACTGCAGCTCACAGGAGGTCCTGATCGTGGGAGGTGTTGGCTGTAAGTAGCAGCTACAGCCCAGGCATAGCATAACAATATTATAAACCTCATCAAGCGAAGGTTTGGTTTCAACGAGCTGGTTAAAGCCACAGTGGCCAGGATGTCAGCTTATATGATGCTGTGAAGAATCATTTAGCCCTTCACAGATTTCTGCTGTTTTTGTTTTCTCACCGTTAGATGGTGCCGGTCAGGAAACAACAGTTATTTTATTTATTAAAGGGAAAACATCTATCCTGTACAGATCTCTATAAAGTTGTTGTTAGACTGGGATTTCCTCCTGTTCGAAGACCATTTGATCTGCTCAGATGTGTAGAAACGGGTTTGATTTTCTTCTGCACATCACAGAAAAAACCCTGCAGTTTTTTATATTGACCCTGATGAGTTATTTTAGCCTCAAAAAGCTTTTATTTTGTTTGTGATATCCCCAGGTAACCTTCGTCTGCAGGAGATGATGGGGGTGATGTGTGAGGAGAGAGGAGCCAAGCTGTTTGCCACAGATGATCGGTTAGTTCTTTCTGAAGTGGTGCAGAGGTCCTTCAGCTAGAGCCCACACTGACAAACATGCTCATGTTGCAGATTCTGCATTGATAACGGAGCAATGATCGCTCAAGCTGGGTGGGAGATGTTCCAGTCTGGTCAGGTCACAGAGCTAGAAGACTCGTGGATCACTCAAAGGTAGACTTTACAGTTTTGGCTCTTTATGTCAAACTGTTGCTGTGTGGGACCTGCTTGTCCAACCCAACCCATTAAAAAATAGCCAGAAAATTCTGATATTTTTGAACTGTGATGATTGTGAACACTTATAACAAAATCCACAAACTTCTTTTCCTATATCATGTTGTTCATGATATATTTTTTATATCACATTTGATACATTAGGCGTTTTTGGCTACTTTTTGTTAACGAAGATCATCCATCCATCCATTGTCTGAACCCGCTTTGTCCACGTAGGGTCGCGGGGGCGCTGGTGCCTATCTCCAGCAGTCAACGGGCAATCAGGCGGGGTACACGCAGGGCAACACAGAGACACACAGGACAAACAATCTTGCACACACACACAAACCTAAGGACAATTTGGACGGACCAATTAACCTAACAGTCATGTTTTTGGACTGTGGGAGGAAGACGGAGTACCCGGAGAGAACCCATGCATGCACAGGGAGAACATGCAAACTCCATGCAGAAAGATCCCAGGCTGGGAATCGAACCCAGGTCCTTCTCACTGCAAGGCAACAGCTCTAACCACTGCGCAGCCCAACAAAGATCATTTTATAGGAAAAAAGAGTTTTGTTTATAACTTTTAGAAGTTATACGACGCGTTTTAAAGTTTTTCCTCTTTTATTCTTTTTCACATAACACCTTTTACCTTTTTTCTCCTCTTTGAGCCGTCACCTTATCGTGGTGGAGGAGTTTGAGTGCCCTAATGATCCTAGGAGCTATGTTGTCTGGGGCACTTTGTGCCCCTGGTAGGGTCTCCCATGACAAATGGGTCTTAGGTGAAGGGTGAGACACAGAACGGTTCAGAAGGTCTTTCATGGATGTAAAAACAAAGAGTCGGAGTACCCGGCCTGGAGGGTTACCGGGGTCCCACCCTGGAGTCAGGCCTGGGGTTGGGGCCCGTGAGTGAGCGCCTGGTGGCCGGACTTTCGCCCATGGGGCCTGGCCGGGCCCAGCCCGCACCGGATACATGAGCTCATCCAACTGTGGGCCCACCACCCGCAGGAGGAACATGAAGGGTCCGGTTTAATGTGGATCGGGTGGCAGACCGAGGCGGGAGCCTTGGCGGTCCGATCCCCGGACAAGGAAACTGGTTATTGGGACATGGAACGTCACCTTGCTGGCGGGGAAGGAGCAGGAGCTTGTGGCAGGGGTTGAGCGGTACCGGCTAGATATAGTCGGACTCACCTTGACACATAGCATTGGCTCTGGAACCCAAGTCCTTGAGAGGGGTTTGTTAGGGAAAAAGTGGATTTCGTTGTCGTCGCTGCTTCTAAACATAACTGCCTCCTTTTCAAGTGAAAACACCTGTTGCTCTCCTTTGCTGGAGTTGCTCCGGGTGAGAGGCGGAGGGCTGGGGTTGGCATTTTGTTAGCCCCAAGACTCTCTGCCTGTGTGTTGGGGTTTACCCCGGGGGACGAGAGGGTAGCTTCCCTTCACCTTCGGGTCGGGGAACGGGTCTTTACTGTTGTTTGTGCTTATGCGCCAAATATCAGTTCAGATTACCCACCCTTTTTGGAGTCCCTGGGACGAGTGCTAGATGGTGCTCCATCAGGGGACTCAATTGTCCTGCTGGGGGACTTCAATGCTCACGTGGGCAATGACAGCTTGACCTGGAGGGGTGTGATTGGGAGGAACGACCCGCCTGATCTGAACTCGAGTGGTGTTTCGTTATTGGACTTCTGTGCAAGCCGCAGTTTGGCCATAACGAACACCATGTTCGAACATAAGGATGCCCATCGGTACACTTGGTACCAGGGCATTCTAGGCTGCAGGTCGATGATAGACTTTGTAGTCGTATCATCTGACCTGCGGCCGTATGTTTTGGACACCCGAGTGAAGAGAGGAGCGGAGCTGTCAACTGATCACCACCTGGTGGTGAGTTAGATCAGATGGCAGAGGAAGATGCCACGTAGACCTGGCAGACCCAAACGCATAGTGAGGGTCTGCTGGGAACGCTTGGCAGAAGAACCTTTCAAGACGGTCTTCAACTCCCACCTCCTGCAGAGCTTTGACCGCGTCCCGAGAGCAGTGGGGAACATCGACTCCGAGTGGGCCTTCTTCCACTCTGCGATTGTTGAGGTGGCTGTTGCTAGTTGTGGTCGCAAGGTGGCTGGTGCCAGTCGTGGTGGCAACCCCCGTACCCACTGGTAGACACCAGAGGTTCAGGGAGCCGTCAGGCTGAAGAAGGAGGCCTACAGGACGTGGCTGGTCTGTGGGTCTCCGGAGGCAGCAGACGGGTACCGGATAGCCAAGCGGGATGCAGCAGTGGCAGTTGCCGAGACAAAATCTCGGGCATGGGAGAAGTTTGGTGAGGCCATGGAGAAAGACTATCGATTGGTGCCAAAGAGGTTCTGGCAAACTGTCCGGTGCTTCAGGAGAGGGAGGCAGCAACTCGCTCACACTGTTTACAGTGGGGATGGGGAACTGCTGACATCAACTGGGGCTATAGTCGGGTGGTGGAAGGAATACTTTGAGGAGCTCCTCAATCCCACCTACGTGCATTCCAAGGAGGAGCCAGAGCCGGGAGACCTGGGGATGGACTGTCCGATCTCGGGGGCAGAAGTTGCTGAGGTAGACAAACAACTACACAGCGGTGGAGCCCCGGGGGTGGATGAGATTCGTCCTGGGTATCTCAAGGCTATGGATGTGGTAGGGCTGTTGTGGTTGACACGTCTCTGCAACATTGCGTGGTCATCGGGGGCAGTTCCTGTGGAGTGGCAGACCGGGGTGGTGGTCCCCATCTTTAAGAAGGGTGACCGGAGGGTGTGTTCCAACTATAGGGGTATCACACTCCTCAGCCTCCCTGGAAAGGTCTACTCCAAGGTACTGGAGAGGAGGGTCCGATCGATAGTTGAATCTCAGATTGAGGAGGAGCAATGTGGTTTTCGTCCTGGCCGTGGAACTGTGGACCAGCTCTATACCCTTGCAAGGGTGATGGAGGGGGCATGGGAGTTTGCCCAACCAATCCACATGTGTTTTGTGGATTTGGAGAAGGCTTATGACCGTGTCCCCAGAGGCACCCTGTGGGGGACGCTCCAGGAGTATGGGGTGGGTGGCCTTTTGTTAAGGGCCATTCAGTCCCTTTACCAGAGGAGCATGAGTTTGGTCCGCATAGCCGTTAGTAAGTCAGACTTGTTCCCGGTGAGGGTTGGACTCCGCCAGGGCTGCCCTTTGCCACCGGTTCTGTTCATAACCTTTATGGACAGAATTTCTAGGTGCAGCCGTGGTGTGGAGTGTGTCGAGTTTGGTGGCAGGAGAATCTCGTCTCTGCTTTTTGCGGATGATGTGGTCCTCCTAGCTTCATTCAGCTCTGACCTTCAGCTCTTGCTGGGTAGGTTCGCGGCTGAGTGTGAAGCGGCTGGGATGAGGATCAGCACCTCCAAATCTGAAACCATGGTTCTCGACCTGAAAGTGTGGCTTGCCAACTCCGGGTTGGGAGAGAGTTCCTACCTCAAGTGGAGGAGTTTAAGTATCTCGGGGTCTTGTTCATGAGTGAGGGTAGGAGGGATCGGGAGATCGACAGGCGGATTGGTTCGGCGTCTGCAGTGATGTGGACGCTGAGCCGATCTGTCGTGGTGAAGAGGGAGCTGAGCCAGAAAGCCAGGCTCTCGATTTACTGGTCGATCTACGTCCCAGTCCTCACCTATGGTCATGAGCTTTGGGTAATAACCGAAAGAACGAGATCGCAAATGCAAGCGGCCGAAATGAGTTTCCTCCTAGGGTGGCCGGGCTCAGCCTTAGAGATAGGGTGAGGAGCTCGGACATTCGGGAGGTAGTCGGAGTAGAACCGCTGCTCCTCCAATCGAAAGGAGTCAGTTGAGGTGGTTTGGGCATCTGGTCAGGATGCCTCCTGGACACCTCCCTGGGGAGGTGTTTCGGGCATGTCCTGCCGGCAGGAGGCCCCGTGTCGACCTAGGACACGTCAGAGAGGTTACATCTCCAATCTGGTCCGGGAACGCCTTCGGGTCCTGCCGGAGGAATTGGTGGAGGTGGCTGGGGAGAGGACGGTCTGGAGCTCCCTAGGTGGGATGCTGCCCCTGCGACCCGGATAAGCGGAGGAAGACGACAACCTTTTACAACCTGCTACCTAGCAGTTGGACTTGAATTGCACCACAAAATAGAAATAAAGTAAAACTTTTCATGTAAATTCTCAATAAAAATAACCTATACCCTGCTTATATGTATTGATTCAATATCTGAACATGAAATATTGCAATATTTCAGTGTTATTTTCATACATCCCTACTTCAATTCATGTAATATCACTACATATTGGTTATTGAATACAACTGCAAAATTATATATTGGATATTGATATAAGCCTACATTTCTAATCAGTGCATTTGTTTTTTTCTTGATGTGTGCCTTTTCCCTCTAGTCTTTTTTTTTTACATCTGAAACTAGATACTTATGTAAATATAGCATAGACATTATTTCAGAGGATGTTATTGATGGAAATACTCAAATTGTCTTTGAAGATGGTATTTCAATGATCCATCCATTTTCATCCGCTTATCCGGAGTCGGGTCGCGGGGGCAGTAGCCTAAGGCGATTGGCCCAGACTTCCCTCTCCCCAGCAACTTGGACCAGCTCCTCCGGGGGAATCCCAAGGCGCTCCCTGGCCAGGTGAGAGACAAAGTCCCTCCAGCGTGTCCTGGGTCTACCTTTAGGTCCCTTCCCGGTTGTACATGCCCGGAAAACCTCTCCAGGATGGCGTCCAGGAGGCATCCTGACCAGATGCCCAAGCCACCTCAACTGGCTCCTCTCGATGTGGAGGAGCAGCGGGTCTACTACGAGCCCCTCCCGGATGACAGAGTTTCTCACCCTATCTCTAAGGGAGAGAGCTCAGCCACTCTTCGGAGAAAACTCATTTCAGCCACTTGTATCCACGATCTCGTTCTTTCGGTCACTACCCAAAGTTCATGACCATAGGTGAGGGTAGGAATGTAGATCGACCGGGAAATCGAGAGCTTCGCCTTCTGACTCAGCTCTCTCTTCACCACGACAGACAGGTACGATGTCCGCATCACTGCTGATGCAGCACCAATCTGCCTATCGATCTCACGCTCCTGTTTTCCCTCACTCGTGAACAAGACCCCGAGATACTTAAACTCCTCCACTTGGGGCAGGACCTCATCCTTTATGTAAATCTTCATTCAAAACTCTATATACTGAACACGGTGACACCCCGTATGATTAATTAGAATAATTAAGTCATTAAAATAGTATGTTTGTATTTTAGTATTATGACAATCCGGGAAAAAGCATGTCTTATACCTGCAGTATCAAATTTGATAGACATTTTAACATGGTTTAATTGTAATATAAAGAATGAGTTACTTAAAGGGACTTTACGGAGTTTTGAATTTTTTATGCTTGCGATTGCCCCCTCAGGCCAAAAGCGTAACGGCAGCTTCAACAGGAGGCTCGTGCACGAGGCGTTCATCCTGTATATGCACACTCCTTAACGAAAATAACAGCTGAGACAGTCCGTTGTGTGTGTGTGGCCCGAAGGACAGGAGAATGCGCAACTAATTAATTAAATAATTTGGTTCTGTACCTTTCTCTTCAGCACAGCCGACAAAGGTTTATGATGGGTCAGTCCTCCTGCATGCTCAGACAATTCCCTTCCCTTGCTTGAAAAATTGTTCCAAAATGAAAGTTGAACCCACATCTTTTTTATCTGTGAATTCAATGCCGTTTGGCGAGGCTCAAATAAAAATTTGGGCATCTTACTGTAAAAAAACATATCATTAATGTAAAAAGAAACTCCAGGGTCTTCTGCACGAAATCCCAAAGTCTTACTGGACGAGCTAAACCACCAGTGACGTCTTCTATATCTGTAACATTTATATTCTTGATGACAGCTGAAATAACAAAGAACAGTTCGGAGGGCTATGCCTGAGCGTGAACGCGCATGAAGCAGCCTGCTCGACCCGAGCAGCTCTCTTTTTCTGTGATTTTACAGAAAAACAGGCAATCACAGTAAAAATGCCGGGGCTTATTCTACAGGACCAGGGCATTGCAGGATAATAAAAGTGCACTACTTCATTAGAAAAACTCCCAATATTAAAAATGTACTGCTTATTGCTGTTGTAACCGTAATTTCTCAATTAGTGATGATTTACCTGAAACAGGCCAGTGGCTCTTACTGGGAGCTGCCTGTAGTGGCATAATAACCCAGTAGAGGGCAGAATACATGTATCAGATTATATACAACAGGTTTTTAAGGCATGTTGATGAGGTCTCAGAAACTCATGTAGCAAATGTTATATAAATGGCATGTACTTTAACCTGGTATGCTGTTCATGTAGCAATCCTAACATGTCAAAATCAGCATAAAAACTATTTCATTTACCATCTGCTGTATTGTTACCTGATTTTTTTTGCTGCAGGTACAGAACAGATGAAGTGGAGGTGACGTGGAGAGACTGATGGTGTTGGGTGTAACATCACCAGACTGATGGGAGAATCTTACATGGTTAATTTGTTGCAGGACTAGACGATCTTAGTAAATATTCATATTTCAGAAGTTAATTTTATAAGTCTATATTTTTCTTATCTGCCTTCTATGAGTATTTCTCCCCAAGTGATATTTGTGTAAATAAATGAGGTCAGCAACCTGTGAAAACATGTTTTGAAGTGTTGCCTTTTTTCAGAAGTCCCAACCCTAACCAACCACATATTCCAAAAGCTCAAAACAGGACTAAGATCTGATCAAGTTTGTTTTTATTAAGCAATACTGTTTGTACATTTCTCCTTTTTCTCCAGTGTATTTTTTTTATTTAAATCTTCATTCAAAACTCTATATACTGAACACGGTGACACCCCTTATGAACCACATTCACCCGACTAGGACCAAATAAAGAAATGAACACAGCATAAAGATTAAACGCAGTAAAAGGGTGAACCATGGTGGCGATTTCGACCACACCCTTCTGTAAACCGATGACAGATACTGAAAACCCTGCACTCAAACAATAAAACTCAAGCAGGGATGACACATTCCTCTGGTTAAGAATCAAACTGGGGAAATAATAAAAAACCTCTGCTGAGGGCTTCTCGCACACAGGGATTGGTCAGAGATTTAAACAAAGTGCTTGATTGACCACTCGCTTTTACAGAGAACACAAAGTTTGATAAAACCGCAGCTTTCAAAAAGGGAACAAAAATTAGACTCCTCAGAGATTATATAAAAAAAACAGCTCTATGCAGACAAGCTGAAATGGGAATGAGGTGATTATTAAGGCAGGCTTTCTGTAAGGCATTAAAAACGTCCATTGCTGTAAGATCTCAAAGGAGTTAGTCCAAAGTGTCTCAGTGTGGCTTTACGTGAAGACATCAACCTGAGTGCAGCGCGTGAACAGGACTCTCGTTTTGTCCAACATATATCTCATATACTTTAATGTGCATGGATGTGTGTTTCAAATACATGTAAAAACTTTGCATTTGTCACACTGCTAGGCTGGGTGCTCCTGGGTGTCCTTGTACCAAATAACTCTTTTTGGATCTGGAAAACAAAACAAAACCATTTGCATATTTTTAAGCACTTTTAACACATTTAAAAGGTTTAAGTAATCTTACCTTTCTTTTGTTTGTTGCAGATAAAATTCCATTCTACAACAAAGAGGGAAAATCATAAATACTTGTTTTCCAGCAGTTAGAGCCAGTCTGATGCTTCTTTTTGCACCTACCTCTATTGTGATAGTTCAAAGCCTCCACTAGATGGCGACAGCTGAGCAGCAGATCCCCATTACCCTTGTCCACCTCTGCAGGTGTGGCCGGGGCGATAAAGGTGGGGACAGGTACTGGCATTTCTTCAGTGAGCTGGACTGTGAGAACTGTGTTATGATGTGGGTCTGCTGGATGTTTAGCGTCTGTGGGTGAGAGGTCCTCAGTAACAGGACCCTCTGTGGTGGGTCTCGACTCGCTGATGAAACTTAGACCCCACTCGTTCTGTAGCAGCACACCGATGGCGGGGCGGTCTTCCTCCAGCGCGCCGCTCACTGCTCTGGCCTTCACTTTGGAGGCGTAGCTGACAGCAGGCTGCAGCTTGGCGGGGCTGTCCTGCACTGGGAAAGCAGGTGGGGGCTTAAGCAATGACAGACTGTCCTCCACCCACTTCTCCTTTTGGTGACCTTTTTGTGGCCGCTCGCAGGTTCGGGTGAACCCTTTCTGATTCTCCCTACGGATGCTGCGTACTTTGTGCTGCTGGCCTTTGCGTTCTTTCTCCTTGCGAAAGCTGGTAGTGTGCGCTTGGCCCGGACCGATCAGATCCTTCTGAGGAAAGTTCTGACGGGAAGGCTGATTGCTTCCAGAGATGCAGCCTCCTCCACCACCCCCACAGTTACCTGAACCAGGTGACAAGCGGCGGTTACGAATGTGGGGTTCTGAATTAGGAGCTGACACGAGGACTGGTTGATCACACAAGCTATCTGACTCACAAGCAGTGTTACTGAATTCCCATGTACCTGAAATTAAAAGGGAAAGTAATGTTTTGTGTCAGTACACCTGCATTCGTACTGTTAAAGCAAGAAAAGGTAAACATTCCTCTGAACACAGAGAACATGGAACATGTAAATTTTTAAAAACGAAACAAAACTTGTCTTTAGCATGCCATAAAAAAAAGACTTACATATTATTTACTAGGAAGTCTTTTTTCTAATAACCAGGAACGCTACGTGTCCACGTGACACTCGAACATTCCTGTCGGTTATTTTTTGACAAGATGTGAACATAATCGGCAGTAAAGCTCCCAGCACGCCTCTTAGTATGTTCGGAGTTTAGTACATGAGATCAGATGACGCTGGGCTTGATTATATACACCCCGGCCTGTCGGCTTCTAAGCGCCAGGTTCTACCGAGAAACCGTTCTTTTTACACGCTACAAGAACCCACCATTCTTTATCGATTCGCTTCTGACCACAACGATGACTTAGCGATTTAAGAAAACATGTGTGTCCTCAAATAGCACCACGTTCTGATTCAGCTCACGCGCCTGTTTATTTTAGTGAACACATCGCCGGTGTTAGCAAACTAATTAGCATCGCCACGATGCTACGAGTTTAACTCGAGGGTCATCTTCATCAAAGACTACGAAGTCATTTGAGTTAGACGAAGCTTGAACAAAAGGTTTTCGGATTGGTTATAACCTACTTTAAATACATTTTAATAATCGCCTGTTAGCCACGGTGCTAACTCAACTCAAAGTTTCGTAACCCCCCCAACCCCCATTCAAAGTAGTAACCAGGCTGGTATCAGCTAGCACAGCAGCTACAGCGGGAAAACGACTTAACAGCGGCTCTGAAAAGGAAATAATTTCGGTCAAAAACGCTAAGGGGTCTTACAAACTTACCTGATTTGATATGCATGTCTTTTCGTAAAACGTATATTACCGAGGCTAAACCGTTTATTAACTTTTGTTTAAAACGTTGAGATTACGACGTCTCTAAGATCGAGTCTTGTGTAGCCACCACCCGGAAGCGGCACGGGAATGTGGGTGGGACAGGAAGTTCCTGCAAATAAGTCATCCGGCGGGAAACGGAGAGGATTTCTTTTTTAATTCAAAATTAAGACAGCCCCACCACACGGTCACCACGTGGTGAAAGTGCGTTGTTTACAAGGCTGCTTTAGCATTTGAATGGGCAAACAATGTAAATATATGAGCACCTGTATAACAAAAAGTACACATGCAGCTCAGTGAAACATGTAATTTGAAAAACTGGTACAGAACGAATCTGAGCTGTTCTGTGGAATAGACTTACCATTAACCAACTATAACAGCATATAAACCATTTAGAAAACAGATGAGCCGCCTTTGGACCGAGCCATTAAATGTTCAAAGGTTTGAGAGAAACGTTGGAACATAGATAAAATGATGCAGGCAGCAAATAGATTTGTCTAAGACTCACCTATCAGAGGCGTTCAGGAGGTAACTAGATGCCCGAGCCACCTCAACAACTGGCTCCTCTAGATTTTTTTCTTTACTTATTTTAAACGGGGGCAGCAGTAGGTTGAGCGGGTTGTGAATCGGAAGATTATAGGTTCGATCCCGGCTCTGGACAGAGAACTCTGCTGTTGTGTCCTTGGCCAAGACACTTACCACCTTGCCTGCTGGTGTTGGTCGGAGGGACCGGTGGCGCCTGTGCTCGGCAGCCTCGCCTCTGTCAGTGCGCCACAGGGCAGCTGTAGCTACATCGTAGCTCATCCCCACCAGTGTGTGAATGGATGAATGATACACTGTAGTGTAAAGCGCTTTGGAGTCCTTACTCTGAGAGGCGCTATACAAGTGCGGGCCATTTATCATTTAAATTCAAAGCCACATCCAAATCGTCACTGCTGAAAAGACATGCTGAAATAGATCACCAACCACCTGTTTGTTAGACTCCAGAGGCACAAACAGCACCATTTACAAGGTTTTAGCTGTTTAAATCATGGTGACAATTCTCTATTTCACTGAGCTCACAAATGAGCATAATTTAACACTAAAATAACTGAAAATCAGACACAAAATGCATCTCCGAAGAGAGATTTGGCAGAAAAAAGTTCTCATTTAATTTCTAAGAAGTAAACAAAAACTTAAATGCAAATGTCCCAAATCCAAATTCATATAAACATTTGTTTAGCTTGACCAATCAATAAAGTAGTTCAACAAACTAGATCATTGAAATCATTCAGAGAAATTTGGTGAAAAACAAACTGAGAAAAAAAGAAAGAAAACAATAAATGACAGAAACTGAAACCCATGTACTTGCATCAGTTAGGTAAATAGTTCAGTTTACTGTTGTTCTGAGGAGCCCCAACTGTCCAGCTCCTCATCCTCCTGCATTCATTCACTAATACATTGATCTGGCAGGGACAGTGCACATTAATGAATCTTTTAAAGTATCAATAGATGTAATATGAAATATGCTAATTTACATTGGAAGTTCCTAGGCAGGTCACACAAAAACATCATAAACAAGAGCAGTAATTACAAAAGGAATATATCACACATTACATTTCATTCACTAGCAAAAGGTCAAAGGTTATTGGTTACATGACGGTTGGCTTTACGCCAATGTGTGTGTTAACTTTTGAAAGCTTATAATGTAGATCACTCCCTTATGGGGAGTGGGAGATTGTTCCAGATCTTGCTAACCTTTACAGAACAAGCATTTTATCCAGATGCTGATTTCTCTGTGTGGGACCTCCCATTCCCCTCTAGAATACTTCCATCTATGATGTGACAACTGTCTACATAATCACACATGTACTCTGGCAAGTTGCTGTTTTAGTTTGACCAATTGACTTTGGCTAAAACTGCCTTTTACCAGATTAACCAGTTTTCACAGTTCCTATTTTTGGGTGTTTGTTGCAAGGATATAAAATTATTTCTTTTAAAATCAAAAATGGGGAATAGAGTAAGGCGGAGGGTCCACCACGACCAAAACATAATCTGTAGTTCCTCGAATCCCAGCAGACGTAACCTCACTCTGAACCTTACATTGAGTTCTGCTGCACCTTTCTATTTGTAGGCGTGCATCTACGTTACAAATTAGAAAACCCAAGACAATTTCTATGATAAATTGTAATTTAAGTCTTTCAGTTCTTAACAAATGTGTAAATTGTGGTAATCTACATGTTGGGTATTTTTATAAATGTACCTTTTTGAGACCTAAAAGATGCTCATTACACATCATGAATCTCTGTGTTGGCTGTTCATAAAAAGGTTGAGCAAGGATGTTAATTGAGAAAACTCTGTACCTCTGTAACTTGAGAAGGCCCGCCTTCTCCCCCACCCTTTGCTTGAATAAAACCACTGAAGACTCTGAGGACTGGGGGAGTCGCCTGGCAGCTAGCTCTGGAGAGGGTTATGTGTCATTTCAGTGATCTCCCCCTCATTTGGCTAATTCAGTGTAAAATGTCTTCCTTGTTGTCATGTGTGATTATTTCAGGTTCCAGGGTTATGGAGGTTAAATATTATCTACCAGATAATTGAAGAATGCAGGTATACAGAGCAGGTGAGGAGAAAGCTTTGAGGCTGGAGCAGAGTGGGGGCTGGTTGAGCCACACACATGGACATACAAATAATCAATTTACTCTCTCTCTCGCTCTCTGGGTGTGTCGTCCTTTAAGGTAATATGGGATAAAATCAAATTACCTATCACTACACGTTTAGATCCTAGAATGTATTGAAATATTTTAGAGCTCTTCTGTTCAAGAAGACAATAACACAAATACTAAGTTTCACTCGGTGTAATATTTTTATTGAACTCTGCTTCTTCTAAGTTTATGACAACCATGAACCAAAGGCTTGTTCTTTTTTAGTTTAAAATCCTTTGTTAGACAGGTTATCACTGGTTTTCATGTAAGAAGCTGACCCCCCCCCCCCCCCCCCCCCCCCCCGTCAAAACACAGATTTTAATCCTCACAGAGGCATAATTATCCAAAGACAGACTCAGAATGATTAAAATGAAGAATTAGAAGCTAACTGCCTTATTCCCAAATGATTAGACTGACGAAACACTGGATGACTCCACTCCCACGGCCTTCTTCACGTGTGTACGCATGTGTCTCCTCAGCCTGGTGGATGTAGAGAAGCCCTTCCTACAGAACGGACAGCCGTGTGGCTTTTCCCCCGTGTGTGTTCGAATGTGCATGTTAAGGTCAGATGAACATCTGAACCTTTTCTCACAGAAGGAGCACGAGTAAGGCTTTTCTCCTGTGTGGATGCGTCTGTGTAGGAGCAGCTCACCAGAGGTGAAAAAGGCATTTCCACACTGGGAGCACTGGTGGGGTCGCTCCCTGGTGTGAGTTAGATTGTGGCGTGTGAGTGAAGCCGACTTGGAGAACTTCTTACCGCAGCAGGCACATGAAAACGGTTGTTCACCCGAGTGACTTTTGAGGTGTTCAGTCTGAGATCGTTTTGTTTTAAAGCTCTTCGGGCACTGATGACAGCTGAAGGGTCGGAGGGTACTATGGGTGCGTTGGTGTCTCGCCAGCTCTCCGTTTGTGAGGAAAGTCTTCTTGCAGGTGGTGCACACGTACGGCCTCTCACCTGTGTGGATCCTCTCATGGCGAGCGAGGCTGGCCAGCTGGGTGAAGCCCTTTTCACAGACTGAGCACCGGAACGGTCGCTGACCGCTGTGAGTCAGCAGGTGTCTGTTGAGGATCTGGAGCTGTGTGAAGGTCTTGCCACACTTTGCACAGGAGTGTGGGCGCTCCATGGAGTGGGTCTGCTGGTGCTTGTTTAGAATCCACACATGCGTAAAGCTCTTTCCACACGCACAGGTGAAAGGCCGCATGCCCGTGTGTTTCATCTGGTGTCTCTTAAGGTCAGAGGCCCGACCGTAAACCTTTTCACACGTAGAGCACTTGAACTGACGTCTCGCCACGTGACTCTGTCTGTGTCTCAGTCGATCCAGGATGCTGTTGAAGCTCTCGCCACATTTCTGACATTTGTACTGACGGCTCTCTTTCTCTGGCGACTCCTCTGCTGCCACCACCTCTGTTGTCAAGTCTAGAGGCGGGTTGCAAGTCTGTCCACAGGCAGTCCGCTCAAAATGTAGCTTGAGCAACCCCATCTGAGTGAAGCGTTTACCACACTGGGAGCAGAGGAAGGGACGCTCCCCAGTGTGAATGTGCTGATGCCTGGTAAGATCCCAAGAGTTCTTGAAGCCCCTCATACACTCCCCACAGGTATAGGGGCGCTCACCTGTGTGGGTGCGTTGGTGACGTGTCACATCGGAGGCCCGTGTGAATGTTCTGCCACAGTCTGGACATGTGTGTGGGTTTGGACGGTCGTGGATAGGGAAGGGTTGTGGGAACTCTGTCCTCCGGGTTTTCTTCTTGGGGGCTTTATTTGTCTGTGAGTTGTTCTGGAGTTTAGTGTACTGTTCTGGGTGGCTGTGTTCGATGTGCTGCAGCAGGTACGACTCCTGCATGTGGAAAAACGGACACTCGGGACAGGCAAAGACCTGTGTGGACATCTCCACTGTGGTACCTGTGCAGATGATTGAAAACGGCGGCATGACCTTGTCTTCAAATACAGCAACACAAGATGTAAGCCGCTCTTATTTGGATTGTCGCCTTTGCAATAGAAACGTAATCAGAAAACATAAATGATTTGAACAAGATTGATCTGTTAAGTTTACCTTGTGTGCTGAGAGACTCGAGGCTTTCGTGGTGCTGTAGGAGAACCCTCAGGTCATCGGGATCGGAGAGTGCATGAATGCATTCACTCAGTATGGAGGGAGCAGAGGTCAGCCATAAAATGCTCTGTTTATTAGAAACAGCAAACATGTCAGCAAGATTTTAAAGGTCTTGTTCACTAAGAAACATGTAATACTTGTGCTATTTGAAATATAATTGGTCACGCTGAGTTACACATGCATTCTGAACGGTCTTCAGTCCTCATCGCCTGCATTGGCGGCCAAAAAATAAAAAATAAGAGGGAGGGAGAAACGATCGGGTCAGAAAAAGCCAGTCTCTTCTATGTCACACTAGGAGATTAGCATTCATGGACTCACCCATCTTGGCTCGCAACTGCGGATGGCTGTTTTTTGATTTAGCAGCCAGGAAAGAGTAGAGCGCATCTAGGCTAGTAGAAGCTAACTGTTAGCATTAGCAACTGCACTAAGTGGTAGAACAGATTCAGGCTAGTGTTATTTGTGGAGATAATTCATCTACGGTGTATTTTTTACTAAAGAAAGAAGAGTGGACAAAGGTAGTGGTAGAGTCGCGATTAATGAGCAAGACTCATAATCCTGACTATTTCCACCCCCACCCTTTTAAATACATACTGGGTGTGTTGATTCACCATTTAATCGACGCTTCACAATGTGACACATGCCGATTCAAAATCGATTTGTCAATGGTTATTAAAGAGTTGCTGAAACACAGCTGCAAAACGTGACAGGAACATATAGGTTACGCCTGCTGCCCAGACACTTTAGGGATGAACCACCAGAATAAAACAACAACAATGGCAGCAGCTTGTTTCTCTGCTTCAGCCACTAGGCGTGAGAGTTACTTGAACATAACTTGTTTTTTTTTTGTGCCGATCGAAGCCATGCTCCTTAAGATTTTTTCACAAGCCGCTCCAAAAGGCGTTTGTCTGGTGATCTAAGCTTCAGGTCCAAAGGTCAGAAGCTCCGCACCTTTGCATCGCTCCAGTTTGCCGTCTCAGCCTATTCTTTTTACAAAAGCAAAACGGACTTCCCGTGTTTACTGTAACTTTCATGATTCATGTTTTTCCTGTAGACTTCATGCAAAAGTATGTATGTGTTCAGTCTCACGGGAAGAAGATAGGGTAGTGAAAGGTATTTGGTAACTTAAAGTAACGTGCTGAAGTATGAAAAAACTATGACGTGAAAAAAAAACAAACAGTGGAAAAAATGCATCAAAATTGTGGTAATCATGATAATGGTTTAATAATCAAATTGTAGGACCCTTAATGGAAATTGAATCGAATCGTGAAGAACCTAATATGGCACACCTCTACCATCAACCGCAGCAGATTTAGTGAAGGAAAAAAAAAGACTTTTAAATGTTATCAGTCATATCAGAGGGCTCTGGATAATTAATCCAAAACTACATTTACAAACAGCAATCACAATGTCATAATCTTACTTGATTACTATTTTACCAGGCAGATATCACTTAGTACCTGACCAAGGGTTGGCACCGGTAGAAGTCTCTCCAGCTTGGAAAGGAATTCCCACACCAGAAGCTGTATGTCTGTGTCATAGCTGAGGTATTCTGCTGGAAAAACTTCCTAGTAGGAGAAAAGGTCATAATCAAAAGCACCATTATGAAAAATAAAATCCAAAACAAAAAACCAAAAGAATCAAAACTATTGGCAGCTGTCTTTAGATGTTCATATGCAAACAGGATTCTGCCCCTCTGTAAAGGTTCCCTGTAACTTGATAAAAACTTATGTGAAAATGGAACCCTTGAGGCGTGAAGCAACCCTTGCCTGGTAAAAGTGCTCCCTCTCTGCTGAATCACTCAGTAATGTCTGAATTAGCTCCACAAAAATGGCCTCCTCTGTATCCACTTCTGCATCTCCACTCTAAGGAAGGGAAAGCAGCAGTCACAAGAGCAGATCTGTAATGGCAAACAAAGATTTCCTCTACTTTTGTGTTTAATCACTGTTCTTAACTCACTCCCGAGTATCCAGGTGGACGGATTCGCTCTAAGTGAGGTTGAACACATAAAATGTTGGCTGTTTGTGCACATTTGCACAATTCAAGAATAACCTGGAAGAAATAAAAGGGCAAGATATGGAAAAACATGGAGACGCACAGCTGTGGCCAGGTGTTTTGAGAATTTACAGATTCCATGTTTTTTAATCTTTGCTCAATTATGATTATTTCATACATTTCATTGGTGTTAATGAAAAATACAGAGTCAGTTTATGCAGAGTCAGTATTTTCAGTGTGTTGGTCCTCTACAGTTCACACTGACTCACAGTCAGTGTCTGGGCCAAATCCTGCCTAGTGACAGCTCATTCTTCATAACGAGTTTGCCAGAATTTGTGGAATTTAAAACAAACTGTGCCTTACAAAAATGAAAATGAATGTTTGTTTCCTTCTTAAAACATTAGACCACAGCTGTGTTTTTCTGAAGAGTTACTTTAGTTCATAAAAGTCTGCTTCATTTAAAAACCAACTCACTCTGGCCCGCAGCCGAAGCAGCAGTTTGCCTCGTTGCTTTGGACTGAGCAGGTCTGGAACTGTCGTCGTCACCAGCGTCACAAACTCATCAAGCTTCTCGTAGTCGAGAACATCTCTCCGCTGAGCCACTTGCCACATGGCTGCAGAAAGCAGCCGCAGAGGAGGCATGAGCAGCCGCAGAGAGGACAGTGGCAGGAATATGTCTGTTTAGCCAGACAAGAGTAGGTCAACACCAAGTACAGTCCTTAGTTTGAAAAAATTAAAGAGTATGTGATGAAACGCAGTGCTGTGTTGAAAAAAATTTTGATTCTCAGAAAAAAAAACAAATCAATATCAGATTGAAACAGACTGAATGGAATCGTGATACCCATCCATCCATTCTCTTCCACTTATCCAGGGCCGGTTCGCGGGGGCAGCAGCCTAAGCAGGGAAGCCCAGACTTCCCTCAGCGACTTAGGTGTTGTGATGAATGACGAAGCCAACAGGAGCACGTCATCTGCATTAAGCAGAGACCGGATCCTTAGGCCACCAAAACAGATCCCCTCAACAACTCTGACGTGCGCCTAGAAATCCTGTCCATAAAAGTCATGAACAGAATCAGTTTCAAAGGGTTGCCTTGGAGGAGTCCAATTCTCACCGGAAATGAACTCGACTTACTGCCGGCAATGTGGACCAAGCTCTGACACTGGTTGTACAGGGACCTAACAGCCCATTTCAAAAGGCCTGGTACCCCATACTCCGAGAATACCCCCAAAGGGCCCCTCGAGGGGCGCAAAACCCATGTAGACTGGTTGGGCAAATGCCCAGGCACCCTCCAGAAGCCCCCCAAGGGTACAGAACTTGTCCAGTGTCTCCTGTGGAGTGTTGCAAAGCAATTCCCCACCAGTTTTTTTTTATTTAAGAGACTTTTTAACACGGACTAATTTGTCACTCATCCTCCTCCACCTCTTCATGCGCTCGCCAACTCTAAACCCACATTTCCCGTTATTTCCGTCCACGAACAAAACGCTTGCTGCGTATTTTTCACTCCTCCAGTCACCAGGGGAATAAAACAGTCATATTTTTAGACTTTCCCCACCAGGGATTCTTCAAGCTGCTCCGTGTCTGCCGCTAGATATCCTCGGCTCTCTTTGTGTTTTTTTAGAGCACAATGCTGTAGACGACAGTGGCGTCCTGACCAATCACAAGCTTGCATTCTCTGTCTCGGTGGACGGATGTTTAGAAAAGAGAGCTCGACTCCGTCCATCCATGCAAGTCTGTCGGAGAGCCCTCAAAAGGACGGATAATGGCATGCGTCCATCCTGATGCAGACGGAAAAGTATATAAATTAGGCTTAATGAGCAATTGCACAGGTGATTCAACCACTTAATCAAGTGTGTTGGAGCGGAGAAACCACTAAAATGTGCTGCATACTGTCCCTCCAGCCTCCCTATAGGACTCTTTCTTCAGCTTGACAGCATCCCTGACCTCCGGTGTCCACCAGCGGATTTGGGTGTACAGGCACTGACCACGCCGCGGTCACAGTTGCGTTCAGCTGCCTCAATAATGGAGTCATGGAACATTGCCCAATTGGACTCAATGTCCCCTGCCTCCTCTGGAACGCATTCTGATGATGTCAGACGTGGAAATTGAAGCTCATACTGACAGGAGACTCTGCCAGACATGATAATCCACTCTAAATAATGAGAATCAAAATTGAATTGATTCTTGAAATTTGAATCAATAATCCAGCACTAATGAAACTTAAGCATTTTCACAGAAAGTAATTATGCAAATCAGTAACTGCAGCACACAGGTCTATCAATATTCCATGATTGAATCGGACTGACCCCGGCTTTCCACAGCAGCCGTCAGCAGCACGTTACTGCAGCAGCACGTCATAGCTGCTGATAGGAACCGCTGTGGTCAACAGAACCTTTTCCACAGGAGCCGTCAGCAGCCGTCAGCAGCGCGAGTCGGCCGCGTCTCAGGAGCAGCATGTCGCGGCCTTTACGCGCCGGTTCTATTTTCTACGCGCGACGCCTCTGAAACGGGTCAAGTTCGACATTTTTGGGGAAGGAAAGACAGGAAATCGGACGCGGAAATGGAGAGAAGCTCCCGAGATTTTCAGAATAAAGAACGTACTGCCTTCCGGTCGCTTTACTTTAAAAAAGGTTACTAACTGTGCGGCCCCGTGAGAAGTTATCACCTAGCTAGCGGTCTCCTTTGTTTTTCAGGTCTGTATTGGCGATTATGAAACGGACAGAATATAAAAACACAAACATTTTGGAGCCATGTTGTAGTTTTCTCCTGCTTGTTGTTGTGTTTACTGACGAAGTCACTCGTGTGACTTCGTGCCCTGTCGGTGACAGCTGCTCCTCTGCTGCGTCACGTCTCGTGGGAAGGGCCAAGCAGCAGCTAGACGTGCTGCTGCAGTAACGTGCTGCTGATAGGAACCGCTGTGGTCAACAGAACCTTTTCCACTGGAGCCGTCAGCAGCGCGAGTCGGCCGCGTCTCAGGAGCAGCATGTCGCGGCCTTTACGCGCCGGTTCTATTTTCTACGCGCGACGCCTCTGAAACGGGTCAAGTTCGACATTTTTGGGGAAGGAAAGACAGGAAATTGGACGCGGAAACGGAGCGAAGCTACAGAGATTTTCAGAATAAAGAACGTACTGCCTTCAGGTTGCTTTACTTTTAAAAAGGTTACTAACTGTGCGGCCCCGTGAGAAGTTATCACCTAGCTAGCGGTCTCCTTTGTTTTTCAGGTCCGTACTGGCGATTATAAAACGGACAGAACATAAAACACAAACCATGTTATAGTTTTCTCCTGCTTGTTGTTGTGTTTACTGACGAAGTCACTCGTGTGACTTCGTGCTCGGTCGGTGACAGCTGCTCCCCTGCTGCTTCGCGTCTCGTGGGAAGGGCCAAGCAGCAGTTTACGCGAGCAAGACGTGCTGCTGCTGTAACGTGCTGCTGACGGCTCCCGTGGAAACCCGGGGTCATTTTCACACAACTATTCCAATGTCACAGAACCGAAATTTCTATGTGCTGATTTTATTTAACAGGAGAGACTTTGTAGAGAAAACAGGAAGAGGAGGGACGAATTAAAGGTTTGCCCTAAAGGAAAAAGAAAAAAGTCAGAAGACACGATGTGTAACTAAGAGAGAGAGATGACTGAAGCTGGAAGGAGCAGAGGCACTGAAGGTGAACAAGTTTTAATAACCGGACGCCAACCATCCAAAGCAACAGGCAGTGCACAGCAAAGGAAAAAGAGCTGCGCAGATAGGCTGGAAATGCATGTCGGAAGGTTATTTGGATAGCTAATAAGGGTGACAGGGAGAGTTTGTATGCTGGTTTATAGAAAACACAACTAAAAGGCAGAAGCTGAAGATGCAAATATTATGTTTATGTTTATTCATTTACCAGACACTTTTATCCAAAGCGACTTACAATGTATAACCTATAGGGCATGTTGTGATCTGTGGAGGAAACCGGAGTACCCGGAGGAAACCCACGCATGCATGGGGAGAACACGCAACTCCACGCAGAAAGGCCGCAGCCGAGTTGCCTTTGAGTGTGACCAAACTGGACAGGATTAGAAATATCAAAGTTATGATGAAAACTTCATGTTAAATCTGCCCCAGGGGAGACAGGAGGAAGGCCACAGAGAGGGTTGATGGGCACAGTGGTGGAACCCTAACCCCACAGTGATGGAGGGATATGCCCAAATATCAAAGTTTGGACTGCTGCATGAACAGAAATGCAGCTTCCTGTTCTGTTTATAGTCTTGGTGACAGTGGAGATTCAGCAACAGCTGTGAGGAAACATTAGTCAGTGTGGCAATACTGTCTATTTTTCTCCAGGACAGGAAACTCCCAAATGTTTTAAACCAGTGGAAGATTCAACTCTTTTCAAAGTGAGAGCAGATTTAGGGCCTTCCTTTGTTTATGTTTATGTATTTAGCAGACACTTTTGTCCAAAGCGACTTACAAGTGATAATCGGCATGTTGCCCTTGAGGCCAACAACAACAACAACAACTTGACATCAATCACGGAGAGGAGGGGACAAGAAGTGGACAGAGGGGGTGCAGGGTCTTAGGGCCTTCCTTTGTAACCCTTTATTTTGTTTTACAAACTTTATTATGCACTTTTCTGTTCATTTTCATTATAAAAATAAATAATCTCATCATTCATCATCATTTATTATTTACTTAACCAAAAGACACTTTAAGTTATTGACCTTTTGCATTAAGTAAACAGGACTTCCCTGCACTTAAAAAAGTATTAATAATCCTATCCAGTTTTGATGGGTTCAGCCCATTTTTAGTCAAAAATGTTCCTTAAAAACTCTTAAGTTTATTGGAAAATAACGAGAATAGTTTTGAGTTGTTCCGATTTTTTAGAAAACAAAAAATCGAATTATTGATGCACCAAATGTTTTGGTCAGCGAGGCGCCATATAAACACCATTGGTTGAAAGCTTTAGTGCTATAAAGCTTCACACTTAATGTTTTGATGGTAAAACTGCCTTTTCCATAATTATAAAAATATATACAGACTTCTGCGATGAGAACTGTTAAAATAAAAGCAATGTTCACATGCAGTACTTATTCCAGTTTTTGACTGCCTAACAATTTCACTGAAAACGTGCCTGTTAAGTAATGAAGTGGTCAAAGTTACACTGAATAAGTACGTTTATTAAAATACGAGCCATCTCATTTGGTAGAAGTCGTTACGCTACAACGCCGCAGCTGCTCAGCTCATACTTACAGTTAGCGAACTACAACAGCTAGCTTGTTGTTGCTACAACAAACAAACGCGAACAAAACGTCCTCGCAGGAAGAAAATCCCGACAATTCCTGTAAAACAAACCTGTGTTTTCCACTCGACAAGTATTGTCCATGACGGAGATATTCTGTAGTCACAGCCATCAGGTGGAAAACTACATAATTTAGCATCTTCTTACAAGCGGAAACCGTGAAAACCTATTTTCAAAATAAAAGTATCTTGCAATACAAAAGTATTCACGTTTCTATCAGCTCATACATAAAACAGCATGTTTCAGTTTGGTCACTCATTAAAATATCTCTAGATTGACTGATTTATTAGATGCACAATTGAAAACTAAGTTTAGTTTACTCTGGAACTTATTTAAATATGAAGTAGGTAAGAAAATAGTTTAGAATTTTACAGTGGGAAAATCCCAAAAGTGTTATTTTGGATGGAAGGTTATAATAAAACATATTTCATATCCAACTGGCTGCAGGAATTCAGTTTTTCTCCTTTCAAAACAAAGAAAGGAGGGCCCTAAATACTGTTTACAATTGGTGAGTGTGGGGTTGCTGTCTCCTGCGAGCTAATACTGCACTGCCGACAATTACAGCTGGCAAAAAGCTCCAGATTTTTTTAAGTGGTTGCGGTACAAATTTTTACCACAGGATGTCATTTTTACTTCATTTCTACATAATACACCCTTAAATATAAAAACAAGACTTTTAAGTACAAATATTATTTGTGCATGATGTGACAACTGCAACTTTTAGTCAAATAGTTTTTAATAACTAAACAGTTAAAAACACTATTTGTCTTTCAATTGTCCATGTGCAAAGACTTTTACATGCTTGGAATTCCTTCATGGAAACATTGTTCATTATGTGTACAATTCAGATCTCTCAAATGGTCATCTGTGACTGCAATAGTTCACCACACGGCTTACTGAGACAAACCCCACATTTCCACACGAGGCTTATCTGTTCTTCCCGGAGAGGAATGTGCAGATCAATTCAGAAGAGAAAGTACAGGGTGACATTAAAAGTGGAAACAAATGAGTTTCTTAGGTCATCAGGTGTTACATTTTATGAGTCCGAAAACAGCAGTTGGTCAAGATAGAGGCAGTTTAAAAAATAACTTTCTTTTACATTTTTAATCCTTTCAGCAACAGCAGACACCCATGAAAGCTGTCAGTAACTGGTTACGTCTCAGAGGTGGGGTTTCAGTGGCTCGCATGCTTGATAACATGTCAGGAAGTCCATAAAACCTGAACATCTAAGGACCAAGATGTGGAAACTTGAGGTGTAGTATCCAGTAACAAGGTGTTAAGTTTAGTCAAAGCCGGGTTAGCCTTCTTCAGAGCAGGGCAGGATCGGCCCTCCATGTTCTCAGCCTCCAAAGTCAAAAGGGACAAACCTGTAAGAGAAACAAGTACTTTAAACAAGGAAGAATGGCACAAATATTTGTTTGAATTGCAGATTGAACCCAATTAAAAACATTCTGAGATCATGTTCTAGTCAGAGATCTACAGGAAAACTGACCACAAATTAGGGCTGCACAATATATCATAAATATATCGTTATCGCGATATCAGCATCCACAATATGCATATCGCAAAGAACAGATAATTATCGTAATGAATAGTAAGCTGAAATGTTTGCTACACATAATGCATTCTGCCAATCAAACGAAAGCATTACGTTTTTTTAACACATCAAATAGAGCTCTTCACCCATTTGGCCAATTGGGTGGGTTCCCATAGGTTAGACGCCCGCCCCCGAGGCGGACGGCACTTAATTTTGATGGTTAGCAAACACCCGAGTTAGCTTAGTTCTGCTCTTTTTCCTTATTCTGCTTTTCCCGGGATCCACTGATTGACTTTTGTTTATTTTCTTTTCCCCTTTCCTCACATCTTTAGCTTTTCTCATTTTTATGAGTTTTTTTAATTCTTTGTTTTTGATTATTTTAGTTTCCGAGTTAAGTTTTTACTTATCGCAAGTAATATCATTGCAGCCCTACCACAAGCAAAATAAATTCAAGTGACTCTAAATGAAAGTTCATAAAATTACGTTGTGATATGATTGAGACGCACCAATTCTGGTTTTATGGCCGATAACAACAAACAACAAATTAGATCTGATATCATGTTTCAATTGCAGCTAGGGTCGAGATCATACTGTTCTAACTGATGCAACTTGCAGGTTGCAGCCCGTTTGTTTACTTACAATTTCAACCTTCATGACATCACTAAAACAAGTACTGATACCAGTACAAATAAAGTTTAATAATGCCATTTGAGGGGGATAACATAATCAAGCACAAAAATAATGCATTAAAATATCTATGAAGGTAAGCAAAACAAAGATTCGACCAAACCGTATCTTGTAGGCAAAGTAGTAGTAGTAGTACTGAAATAGAAAATCCTTCAAAGACAAGTACTTCCTGGCTCAGTGGTGCATAGACTGTACTATTGTATAGGCCACTTGTTGGCTGCCGTTTTCAGTGTGTAATTTATTCATTAGAATCTTTGGCAAACCTTTACATGGCATTGTGTTTAAATTTTTTTTTTTGTAGAGGACCACACGGGTCTAGAAAATGAATGGATAGATCATTTAGACCTGATTAACACTGGAAAAAGGCGATATCTTAAAGTGCTAATCATTGGGGGCCAGCGGTAGCTCAGAAGGTAGAGTGGGTTGTCCAGCAGGAAAGAGAATGCTGCTGTTGTGTCCTTGGCAAGACACTTAACCCGTTACCAGCTGGTGGTGGTCGGAGGGACTGGTGGCGCCTGTGCACGGCAGCCTCGCCTCTTTCAGTGTACCCCAGGGCAGCTGTGTCTACATTGTAGCTCATCACCACCAGTGTGTGAATGGATGAATGATACACTGTAGTGTAAAGCGCTTTGGAGTCCTGACTCTGAAAGGCACTTTACAAGTGCGGGTCATTTATCATTATCATTGCTATGACACCGTCAGTTTCTAATCCCACATTTTTAATCACAAAACATAAAACTCACAACACTCCAAAGATTCAGTTTTTTAATTAAATTTTTTTTGATAGCAGCAATTCACAAGTCACCTAAAACTGCTAGAGATACGTAACAAGTCGAATTTATTTTAAATCGGGTCGAGATCCAAAGCTAGCTGTGGCAAAATCAGACTCTGGATTATAAATTTGATATGTGGATGGAAGATTGCACCAAGTCTTCCCTTTAACACAAACCACCCATCCTGAGCAGCATGGGGTGACTGTAGGCAGTCTGATGAGTCATTTGTGATGCTGACATTTGGATTCTTAAACCTAGACTCTGAAGCCTTTACTTTACTATGGGCTTTAAAGGTGAAAGTCCAACTTCATGATGACCGAATTAAGGAAGCAATAACACGTTCATGAAGACTTAACGGTTTGATCTCTACTTGTCTCCTGCCACTGGTGACAGCCAACAGGAGAAAGTTGAGCACATCGTTAAGATGCGTGCCAACGAACTTCAGATCTTAAGAGTATTTCTAAAGCTACATTGAAGCAACTAAAGTCCTAACAGTGAGACACACAGATACGTTTTCAGCTCTCCATTACTTAAAATAGTGTTTTACGGACTAACTCGGGGGTTAAAAGACTTCCGTAGCCGCCCTGGTTAGCCAAAAACTTCAGCGGTTCATCACTCACCTCTTTAAGGAATTATAAAATATACGAAGAAGAACAACACGATGTCAAACACCACGAACACCCACAGGTCAAACCAGTAGGAGTGTGTCGGTAAGGAGAGGGCGGCGTCCTTACAACTATACATTTTTGGGTCTTGTGAGTCAGTCACAGGATTCGCACTGGATCCCATCTTTGCAATGGCTGCTGCTGGCACGAGCTCCCCGGAAAGGGAAACACCACTATCCTTCAAAATAAAAACCACAGGTATTGTTTTGTTTACATAAAAGCAAAAATCTTCAGGCTTTATTTATTTTTTCTACTTAATTTTTTTTTTAGCGAGGAAGGTATTTCAGAGATGTAAAAAAATGCAAAACTCTCACACAACCACAATTTTGTGTCACATTCTTACACTTCGGCACTAGATGTCACTAGAAAGACATCATTAAAACATCTCCAAGAGGACCCTGCATGACCTCACACATGGAACATATGTGCTGGGATAAGAGACCTACATGCTATCTGCCATGTACAGTAGTGGTGTCTGGAGAAGGGACTGATATTTATTTCTGCACCAGTTTGACAGAAGTATAAATAAATGCCACTTTTTCATCAGTGAATAAGTTATAACTAATAACATGAAGTGAACAAACTATTTTGACTTGTTTACATTTAAAAATGAATCCATCAGCTAATAGAAGAGTCATTTGGCTTGATTTAGCAAACAGAAAAGTCAAGAGGCTCAACTGCAGGTTATCTTTATGTACGTATTTAACTTCTAACTAACTTATTGTTTTTGTCACATTGCTCTTTGATTAAACACTACCAGGAAAACTGAAATTTCTGTTTATATTTATAATCTTTACTGCTATATGAGCATCAAGACCAAAGAGAAATTTCTTTGATGTCAAACGGTTTGTTATTTGTCTGAAGAGGATTGTATCATCTGCATTAAGTTCTGATATCTTTTTATTAAATCCATTTCTACGTCATCAAACATCTGGTCTGTGATCCGATCATTATTATGCATAAGAGGTACACCTGATGATGGCTTCTTTTATGTTAAATCACATTTAGAGGGACAGGATGACAGAATTTAAAATGCAAACAAAAAATAAATATTTTTAAAAGTAATGAAGTTATTGAATATAATATAATATTTAAAGCTTTCTTTATTTGTACTTTACTTATTTTCTTCAGGTCTACTTTTTACTTTTAATTCACTAATTTTTAAAGCCAATCTGTACTTCCTACTTTACTACAATAAGGAGCCTAGGTCTCCTCTCTTCCCGGTCGGCTCATGGGACCCCGGAAGAACGAAAACATGAATGCAAGTCAACGGGGCTAAAAAAGCAATTTTCTAATCCCCTTTGCCTTACGTCCTGGATCACACATATGTTGTACTTCAATTTAAATGTAATCCAACGATGGGTGTTTCAATCACGCCACATACTTTGAAATGTATCAGCTTGTAAAAGTTCGATGTTAGCATGACTACAAATCCGACATCAGCACGTTGCACCACAGAATTTGCCATTTTCCCTGTTTTTCTCCGTGTCTGCTTTATTGATGTCACTTTCATAAAGCGCATTTGTAGTCCTGGACTTATTACCCAAAACTTAAAATAACATCTCCCCCCCTGTCCAAAATAAGTGCGTTCTTGGTATTAAAACGCATCTTCACGGACATCATATGTGAAATCCATGGCACATAACAAGCAGAATTAGAAAATAGCGTCTTTAGAACTGTGGACTTGCATTCATTTATTTGTTTTTCTGGGGACCCGTGGTCCGGAAGTAGATGGGCATGACTTAGGCTCCCTGTGGAGCACTGTCTGTCACCTATGATAGACTGTCACTATGGTAAAGCTATGGAATATTGCGTTACCATAGTTACAGCTCAGGTGCATCGTTTAAAATGCTTTATTATTAAGGCTAGCCTTTCAGACTTCAGTATAAGTTTCATCTCGAGTGAGTAGGACCTTTTCTCTGCGGTCTCTGTGTTTGCTGACTTTAGTCTTCCAGAGAGCAGCTCTAGTAGCAGGTAATAAAACTACCCACAAACATCCGATTGCAACATCTTTGGTTCACGTGGTTCTGACTGCCATATGCATCGCTAAGAAAACTATCCTCTTGAATTGGAAAAATAGAGAAAGTCTCTGCATTAACCAGTATAGAAATCTTTTGTTAGATCATATTGCACTTGATATAGCCTCTGCTTCCACTTCAGATGAATCTCTCTGGGCTCCTTTGATCGGTTCCATCACATAGCGAGGGTGGGGGGCCATTGATGTTGTCCTGCGAGATGGTGTGTGTGGGGGGGGGGGGGGGGGGTCTGAGTTTGGAGTATCCGGATGTTCCCTGGAGGTGGGTTCACTGGGGGTGTCTGGGACTGGGGGGCTATTGCCCCCCTCTGGAGGTGCTTGGGTTGCCTCGGGGGGTGGACTGCTGGCGGTTGTGAGTGGGGCCCCTTGGGGATCTTGGTGGCGGCCATGGGTCACTGCCTGACGGCTGCAATACCCCTGGGCGGGTCTGGGTGGGGGCCTGGGGGCTCGGGGTTTGGGGGTGGCCGGCCCCGTGTGGGGATCTGGGCGGGGCCTTGGGGGTCGGGTCCTGACATGTATGCTGCCGGGAAGAAGGCAGGAACACTCAGCAGTGCCTGACCCGGGTTCGGGGGCATCAGGTAGACCTTGGCTCCTCTGCCGTTCCATCACAGGGGAGGGGGAGGTCCAGGACGGGGAGGACCAAACCTTACCTGGATGTCCCATGTCTTATATATTCTGGAAGTTGTGCAAATGCAGGGGTGGGCATAGATATTCTGCTGGGATGGGGCTGGGTTGGTGCCCTCGGACTCCGTGAGGCTCTGTAATGCTGCTGCTTTGGGCCCTGGCAGGATGGGCTGGGGTCTCCATGCCCTGGGTGGCAGTTTGACAACAGAGGTGCCTATTGGGGCCAGTAGGGGAGCTGGCTCCCTGGAGGGCTAAGCCCAACCAGCCATTCCTCCCCATCCCCGCATATTTCTCTCCTCCTGCTCCCTCACATCATCACACAAACATACACATAGGACCTTGGGGGGTGGGCAAGTCAGGGAGTGCGGGTATGGACCCCATTTCCGCATTCCTGTGGCAACCTGCCCCCCAATTTTATTTGCACCTTATACACTTCCACTGACGACATTCCACACAAACACACACTTAGGGCCTTGGGAGTGAGCACATTCAACGGCATTTGGCAGGGGGATATTTCAGCCTCCTCCCGAGTGCCGGTGCCCACTTCCAATTTTAAACCGCACTTAGACACTGATGGCTGAGGGTGTAAGTGGGGTGGTGCGGTGGCATCAGCTGGCATATGCCGGATGATGCCCGCACTGCCCACTCACCACAGCCATGGAATACACCTCATGATCACACAACACTATATTGGAGCAGGTGGAGGGAGACTAGGGGTCTTTGCCACCTCTGTTGTTGCTAGGCTTCCTGGGGCTGGAGGCTAGGAGGGAAATCTGGCCGTCTGGTTGGGGTCTGGGGTGGTGGGTTGCTGTGCTCAGCGTTGGGCGGGGGAGCCTGCTCATCAGCACCCCAGCAGAAAGGGTCAAACTCTGGTTGCCGGTGATGGTTGTACCCCATGTGCAGCAGTACCGGGACCAGAGTGAATAGGGTGTGTATGGGGAGCATGAGTGAGTGTCCGGCATGCATTTTTGTAAGTCTTGGGTTGTATGTGCATGTGTGAGCATGAGGGAGGGAGTGTGTGACTGTGTTTGTGTATGACTGTATATGTCAGGTGGGGCCTTTGGGTCCTCCCCTCTCCTGGAACTTCTCTTGATGATATAGATCTTTGTCCCCCCTCCCCCTGCCACACCTGGTGTGGGGGCTTGTGCCATGGTCTGCCTGAGTGTTCGTGGCAACCGGGTCTGGGGGTTTAAGATTTTGGCATCTGCCTGATAGATCCCGGTGGCTGCCTGGTGGGGTCTGGGTCCCTGGGCTCTGCTGGGTCCCCGGCGGGGGTGGTCACCCCTGGGTCCCGGGTCGCTGGGTCCCGGGCTCGGCCGGATAGGGGGTGGGAGGCTGCGGGCGGGCCTGTGGGCTTGCCGCTGATGTCTCCGGGGACTCTGCCGGCTGCTGGTTGTGGCCCCCCGGGGCGATCCTCTGTGCCTCTCGAGGGGGGCGGGGGCCTTTCTGGTTGCAGTCTCCTTGGGGTTCCTGCATTCTGGGGCAAAGCCTGGATCTCTGGGACTTGGAGTTCCCCCCGTCTCCTGCGCATCTTTGGGGGGCGGATCTGTGGTCCCTCACACTCTCTGTTGGACGCTCCTATAGAGAATCCTTAAATAAACAAGCGCGTGTACACACACAGGTGCTCACATGGTGCTCTCAAAAGTATGGGCTTGGGCACGTTCAACACATGTCTTAAGACTATGGGGGGCACTTAATGCATTGTGATTTATTATCGTGATTCTTCAGTTAAGCAATGTTGATTATATATATATATATATATATATATATATATATATATATATATATATTGTTTTTTTTTTCATCAAGTTGACGCAGTGATAGGTAGATCTTGTTGTATTGTTGTTGTGTCCCTTTTTTGTGTCCTTTTGTTTTTTTTTTTTTTGTCTTTTTCTGCAGGTCTAGAAGCAGACTCTTGTTCATTGTTTATTTTTGTGGAAACCCCCCCCCCCCCCCCCCCCCCCCTCTCTCCACCTTTTCTCTTCCTTTCTCTTTCACCTCTGTCTCCGTGTCTGGTCGGAATTACAAAGCATTCAACAACAATAACAATAAAGTTTTAAGTATCAGGCGTGACATTAAAAGCAAACGCTTTGATGCTCCACCTGAGAATAAATCTGTAAGGCTTGTCACCAGCATTCAGACATCAATTCTGCTTGCTTCACAGCCAGACAGGACACGGTAAAAAAAAAAAAAAAAAAAAAAAAAAAAGCTATGGAATATTGCGTTACCATAGTTACAGCTCAGGTGCATCGTTTAAAATGCTTTATTATTAAGGCTAGCCTTTCAGACTTCAGTATAAGTTTCATCTCGAGTGAGTAGGACCTTTTCTCTGCGGTCTCTGTGTTTGCTGACTTTAGTCTTCCAGAGAGCAGCTCTAGTAGCAGATAATAAAACTAGCCACAAACAACCCAGCCCAACATCTGACATGTTTAGACTTTCAGATTTATCTGAAGTGTTTCCTGTGCTTTACTGGGAGACTTTAACATCCCTCAAGGTAAACTGGTTTTATCATTTAT